AAAGAATACATAGGAATCTTGCGTAACTAGATGCCGACTTGTTGCTGAGGCCATGCCAAGTAGGTAGAATAGGCTTGGATATTAATGCCCTCTACAGCCTTAACGATTTTGGCACCCACATCTCCATAGTACCAAATATGGCGTAACCGATGCAGTGCGGCGCCATAATAGGCCAAAATAGCCAGAGCGGCATGGTCCCATCCTTTTAAAAGACGTATAAATTCCAGGTCGGCAAACACCAGGAAGCCGCCGATATTATTCAGCCTCTCCTTTGACTCGGGCGGTTCAAGGAAAAGGCTGTAGACGAGGCGAAGAGTAGACTGGAGAACCTCGACTCGAGCTCTGGAAGCTTCGTCACCCTGTATCTGACCCGCAATATGATGTGAGAGCGTCTTCATTGCTCTCCCACAAGGCGTGGAGCTTCCTACCAGGTCTTGTTGAGATGGTATGCTGGGGGTATCACCCAGCATAGACTTTAAATCTCCCTCTCGTAACCACTCTATGCCCTCTATGGCGACATTGAGAGTACCTTTCATCAACTCGAAAAGACTGAAAAAACTGGCAATTAAATCAATGGGACCGCTGGTGTGTTCCTGGACATTTGAACTAAGACGGGCAAAGCTGAGGCCGGCGATGATTTGCGAAAAGGCAAATAATGCGTGGCAATTCTCCTCGGTAACGTTACTAAGCAGATCAATGTAGGTCTTTAGAGACTCCTGTTGGTAGAAATCTGCAGCATGGATCAGGCGGGCCAAGGCTTCTGGCTCCAAGTCTTGATCGCAATGGACCTTGTGAAGAGCAGCGCAGGCGAAGAGGCCTTGAAGCAGGAAGGGGTGTCGGAGCGCATGCTTTGGGACCATCTCCCTCCAAAGCGAACGAAGAACGGGGTTCTCGCTCATAGAGAGGCAGGTATAGGCTGTGTAGTGATGCATGAGCTCAACCTCTTGCATGGCAGACGGTTGAATGGGCGCGTCAGCGTAGGCACACGGCCGGTCGAGCCTCGTGCAGTTTTCGCACGCCGGCTTTTCGAGGCCGCACCGGACCTTTCGCTCTTTGCAGGTGAGGCAGCCGCCTCGTACTTTGCGGTACTTCTTCCTCTTCGCCATAGCAAGCCTATTGCTGCTGCTAGGGAATGTCACATGGAGTAATCGCAGGGTGAGCGAATTGGGTTTTATCATACAACCCCTGAAGAGTTAGCAGCAAGTCAAGTATGGCCAGGATTCCTGATGGACTATTATTAGCTACAAGATACTTTGTTTTACCGCTTTTGTCCAAGGCTGCGTAACAAGATTACAACCCCACTGTATGATCGCATTGATTATAAATGCTGGGGTCTAAGGGAATGTCTCTGCCAAGCAGTGGAGTATCTGGTCAGTTTGGCTGGTGTTACAAAGGCGTATCGAAGGACAGAAAAGCGCGACGGCAGAGAGCTTCAATCCCGACGATAAACCAGGGGACTAAGTCTCGTATGAGAGATCGCGATCTCTATAGAAAGCAATTGACCCAGTGCAAACCACGACTTTCACTCGTCATCTCCCCCTGTTGTTCAGTGTTAAATCGGCTCATTATGAGCAGCAACACGATGCTCCTTCTTGTAAATTACGCTGCTTCTTTAGCTTTTATGTGTAACGCGCTATATTGGGGGTCTAACATGGCAAGAGGGTCAATTAAAGGGGACTGCTACTCTAGAAGTAAATGGACATATCACAAAGTGATACTGAGTGGCTGACCTCGTACTGAAGAAAGTTTTTTAGAAGGCAATATTTTTTAGGTCAAGGTAGGTATATACAAATAATTAATCGAACTACTTAATAAAAAAAAACCACGAGTTATCACAAGAGTTTAATGTGATAAATACCGAGTATCACTTGGATTGGATGGAGGTCTAGGGTAGGTCAAGGACTTCGAGGTTCCATTGTCTTAGCTAAGTCGGCACTGATGGACCCGGACCAATGCTGACCCGAACGACAACAGGCACTACCTCATCTTGGACTGGTGACGGTCCGTGCGCAGAAAACAAGACCGCCACGATTTGGGGGCAGCCATATATGTGTGACGCGATGAAGCCCAGATCACGGGATATCTCACGTGATACTATTCTTTCATTCAATGAATAAATATTATCCATAGATCCTCTTTAAATAATAGGAAATTCAAGTCTTCTAACAATTCTTCAATTTGTGGCCTCTAGCTGTGGCAAATCGTCACAGTATGATTCGCAGACGGCTGGGAAGAGCCCCGGTATACTGTCGTGTGATTGATGTGTGTAAATTGGACTTCTTGGCGATGTATAATGGTTATTAATCGGAGCTTCTAACCCTCTCTCATTGTAATTAAGCTAGTAAATTAATATCCTAAGTAAGTATCCAGTATTCATTGTGTCGAGATGTTGGGTCTGGCATCTTTCATGGTTGTTTTTACTTTGTACTCGAACTCTCCTCCGTAAAGTATCTAGATGATTCTGGAGTTTGAACATAAGATTGCCAATATACTTAATAACACTAGGTTGATTTCCAAAATTATAGTTCGATGTAAACATAGACCTTTCAGCTAGAAACCCCCTCACCTGTGCTGGGGTCAAGTTTCTTCATAGGTTTTTTTTGACAAGATCACCGACGGTCCAGTCCTTCTCTTCCTCTCCAGCAATACTTTGTAGGATATCTAGAAAGATACTCTCGGCCCTCTTGACACCGTCCTCTGCCATTGCTGCGCCGTCAGAATAAGCATTCTGTATCCTGGCTCCGCCCTCGTGCCCGACGAGGCACGTGTTGAACGCAGTGCCAGTGGCATTTCCCGAAACGCCAAAGATCATATCGGTCGCGCCTTCAGGCAGGCCGAGATATGACAGGTTGGACCATGTACCGCTCATGCCTTGAAAGGGCGACAAGGAGTTGATCTTCTTCAGTGCTTCCTCTTCCGCCAGCGTGTACGCCCTCTTGTCTCCGGCGGGGAGCGCATCAGAGTCTGGCGCACGATATTTGCACTCTTCAGGGTTGGTTGGTCCATTCTTCATCATATTCACCATCTTCATCATGTTCCAACCATCGAGGGCCGCCTGCGGATCCGTCGATACGTTCGAATAAGCCTGAGCCAGGTCCCAGAAACGAGATTGGTCGGTCAGTCTACCGGTTGACCACATGTATATGGTCGGATGGCCAGCCATGCAGTATGGGTCTCCCTTGCTGACATCACGCAAGTCTTTGACTGAACAATCCCGAACCGCTTCATCGCTTTTCCCGTCAATAAACACCGCCCAGATTGCTAGGACCCAAGCGGTGTGAAACGTCGGGTTGAGTGTTGCTACTCCGTGTTTCTTCCCCACCCCCTTGAGCTTTAGCGTCAAGCTGGCTGAGACGTCGACGATTGATGATTTCCAAGGACTATCGATTGTCGCCTGTGATATCTTCTGGGGCCAAGGTGGAACATATCCAAGCCATCTTTTCACTACATCTGGGAGTCGTGGGACCAGAACCATCCGGAAGATAGTCGCGGCAATAACAGAGTACGGCGGTAGCTCGTCGGCCCCTTCACCAATACCCGCCTTGTCGTAGAGCTCAATATCCTCCTTCTCTAGATGAGAAATTTCGGTGGCAACAAGAGCCTTGGCCAGCTTAACAGCTCCGCGTCCATCAATGATGATGTGGTCCAGCGTCAATGCGACATATAGCCTTTGGTTCTCGGGATTAGACGAAGCACGGAAGAGAGTGATTCCCCAGAGAGGGTCACTATCATACGAGACCTTGACTTGGAACTGGCGCAGGGCCATTTCATATACCGTGTCCCTTTCCGCTATAAGATTATTCGGATTGGCTTCATAAGTTTTGCTGGACAGGATCTGGTCTGCGGTCCAACTCGAATAGCTATATCGAAATTTTGGTTTGGTAGTCCGCTGGTCTGCGATTGTGGCGCTGAGTAATGGCCATAATTGCTGAAGCTCGCCGATCCTCTTAGTTAACCGGCTCACATCGAAGCTACTTGGGTTGGGGAAAGTGAGCATTATATTGATTGTCGATGGAGAGCCGACGCTTCGGTTGGTGACAAGAAGGCGCCCTATACTGTGGACTGCAGTATGGTGATAACACATTGTTCATCAGTGTTATCCTAAATGATATTTGTTCCATGTAAACTCTGCTTACACGTCCATTCATAGAAAGGGCTTTTGCCTTGTGCTTCTGTCAACCCATCGTCTGGAGCCATCTTCTCAACAATAGACGATCCACACCGCAAGAGCCAGAAGTGCCTAGAGTCAGCCTGATGAGTGGATTGGCTACGTAGGCGAGGAACACCAGCGAGTCTATAGGACAAGCATACACCAGCCGCGTATAATTATTCGAAAAGTGCTGTAGTAGAGCAAAAGCTAGCCTGGGCTGATTTTCCTTTTCCCATATCTGACCACAATGCTGCGAGTATCAGAGAGTGGATAGAAATAAGCACTAGATGTTTGGGATACGTGGCCATGCCCCGCCAGGGAGAGTCTTGACCGCTTTTGCGTCCAATCTGCATCGCCTGGTAGCTTAGTAATGATGAATCGCCTGATCATTCAGTTTCATATATTCTCTGCTGACGGAGAAAAAGTCTTAGACACTGACCTTTTGCCTCGCTTCATTACTTGAGCTTCCAAATAGCTGATTTCTTGCTACGCGAGAAAGGGGCCAGCAACTCCCCTATGGAAGTGACTTGAATTTTGCACCAAATATCATGAAAGTGTATGCACTCTGTAGTAGTATGTAATTAACAAGGGTTTGTGTAGATCCATCAAAATCTACTAGGCATTTGTGAGGTAACGTTCCTAGTCGTCGTTGGCGCCCCTGCTTGCGATGACACTGCAAGGGGTGGGTTTCTGCTGTTGCCGATGCATGCCGGAAGTTGACATAGCCGGAGTAATCTGGTACATAATAAAACACTCGCTCTGCTCTGAGCAGAAAGCACTATTTCTCTGAAAACATTATTTCTATTCGACTAAATACGCAGAAGATACGATTATTGCACCAGCTGGCACCATGACCCAGACGTGGCTCATTACCGGCTGCTCCAGCGGCTTCGGAGAGGAATTCGTCCGTCAGCTCCGAGCTGCCGGCGATAATGTGATTGCCACGGGCCGGAACGTTGAGGAGAGGTTGGCTCACCTCAAAGAGACGGGTTGTGCGATCCTAGAGCTGGATGTGACTTCTCCTGAAGATGTCATTGCTGCCAAGATTAATGAGGCGTGGGAGATCTATGGCGGTATCGATGTCATTGTGAACAATGCAGGATTCTTGGCAATTGGTGCCTTTGAGGATACTCGGTGCGTTCACCTAATACCGAGAGCCAAAGGAACTTTGTTGACTTGAGGATAATCGCTAGGCAGGCGGATATTGAAGCTGCCATGAGTACAATGTTTTACGGACCGCTCAACATCACCCGTGCCGCCCTGGGCAAGATGAGACCGCTGAATAAAGGCACGATCCTATATGTCAGTTCTTATTACTCCAGACTTGGCGCCGCTGCCGCCACGCCGTATTGCTCGGCCAAGTTCGCCCTCGCGGGAGCCGTCGAGTCCATCGCCCAGGAGATCGGCTTCTTCGCACCCAACGTCAAGCTCATCAGTGTCGAGCCAGGCTTCTTCCATACAGAAGTCTACAACAAAGCCGTTTGCGCCAAGAACCGCGTGCCGGCGTACACCGAGTTCATGGAGGTCACCAAGTCGACCCTCCATGAACACTTTACGAATGGACCCGGCGACGCAAAGAAGGGCGTTGCTAGGATGATTGACATTGCAAAGGGGACAGGCTGTGCTGAAGGCAAGACTGTGCCGGTGCGGTTGGTTCTAGGGTCGGAGGCACAGGAGACTTGCAGGAAGGTTAGCCAGGACGCGCTCAAGGTCATGGATGAATGGGAGGAAGTGGCAAACAGTACGGATCGGGACAACTACGTAAAACCTGCAACCCAAAAAGCGGATTAGGTTAGCTCAGATTGTTTCTACCTTGAAGCCAAGTTTGAAAGGTGACATGACAACTGGGATCGATGATCTACGTTGGATATCACAACGATGACAGATGGTGGCAGATTATAGTTGATCCGTTTAAATAGAAAAAATAACTATAGCAATGAGCGTGCCACATAGTGGAAACTGGAAAGTTACACAGTGATCGCAGCTCTTGCTTCCACATTGCTTGATACTAATCTATACAGCGTACGCAGGCAACCAGGAGCTGTCACAAGCCCCCCCCTACAGCTGGTTTCTCATGTTTAGACTATCGACTAGAGAGAACTCAGAATTGACTTGGATATCAAAATGTCTTGTATTGAAAAGTAGGTCAGCACCTACTTTGGAGTGTTGAAACGCATCGCAAATCCGAGCACTCGGCAAGTCACGACGGCGAACGTCTTTTTTACGCCGTTGTCCGCAGAAATATCCGGGGAAAGGCGGAGCTTAATAGTAATACATTTGGCTTAAGTACCTGTCTTATCGTCCGAGTCTGGGTTAGCATCTAGCCGCATTAGTATACCTTCTGGGGAGGCCGCCCCTTCTTCTGAGCGTCGCTTGCACAGGGTGTGTAGATTACAAATGGTGTAGATTACAAATGAGGTAGATTTCAAATGGTGTAGATTACAAATGGTGTCCAAATTAGCAAACAGCGTATAAATTAACTGGCTGGTCTTCTAGCTGATAAAGGGGTAAGAAAATGATATCTATGAGATGGTAGGTGGCTTGTGACCAACTCAAATATGATTGAGGATATCGCAGGTGAAATGCAACCACCAACGAGCATTTCCCGTCGAGAAATGCTGCACGAGTATTGTTCGTCTATCAATCTATCTAGTCGTTCTTGGAAGATGTTATACACCGAAAAGATCTATTCCGTCACCCTGCGTTAATTGTTTGATTTTTTTGCGAGATGGAGACGTACATGCTCTTATAGACGAGACCGCAGCATGTTGTTGGAGGACCCAGTTGACCTAAGCCAAGGTTAGCACGAGCCCAACTACAAGCAACAAGGTGAGAGTGCGCCATTTACCCTTCCCACGTCTCCCTTATAGCAGCCCAGTACCTGTCCTCGTCCGCCCGCACGTGGGATACGTGCTGCGTGCCGTGAAACTTCTCCATCCTGACCGAGTAGCCCTTGTCCTTGGCCATGGCGGCGTGCTTCTCCACATCCGCGAAGCCCATGAGCCGGTCGCTCTCGCTATAGATATACACCCGCCTGAGCTCGTTATTAGAGCTGTTGTGTGATAGGTAAAAGTGCTCAAAGGCATCCCTGCGTCTCCAGTACAGGACGTAGTATAAGAAGGTGAAGAAGTGGGCGACTGGATAGAGGAGCACGTAGACGGCACCTCTCATTTCTGCCGTTATCGCTGCCACGCTGCGGCTTTGGCCAGACAATCCCGGCCCAGAGTCGAAGACTGAGACGTGAGGTGGGAGATTGTTTCCAAAAGTATTGCGTATGTGACCTAGTGCTGCAGAGCCGCCGATGGAAAATATATGCAGCAGGATTTGCGGCCCAGGTTTGCTGGAATCCACAGAGCCCCGGATGACCGAAACGGCCGCGTTAAAGTCCGTGGATGCTCTAAACGAGGCTGAAGTTAGATTTGAATATAGATGCATTCATCCTGAACGGTAGAATTGGTATTCGAAGGATACGGGACAGCGAGAAGGAATGGAAAAATATTTGCCTACATTTGGGGACGCCAGAGGATATGCTTAGCTGTGCTGCGGACTAGTAGGATCTGCGCCGCGGGATAAAGAGCCTGATAGCCGCGAATGTACTTTGCGATGGACATTGGGCTTGCATACATCCATGGTAGAATGACGATGAGACGGGGCGAGGGGCGATCTGATGGCGGCGTGGTTGGGGGTCGGTACACATCAACAAAGGGCGAGAGCTTGGTCATGAAATGCAGAGGACCCGTCCTTGGGCGCTTGATTGCGTCGGAAGCCATGTTGATGTCGGCCGTCCCGTCTTGGACGTTTCGGAGGCGGAAATGGTAATGTGCTCGGGTCTTGGACCGGTGGTAGCAAGGATGGTGGCAGCAAGGACCTACATGCAAAGAGAGTGTGGACGCTTTATCTACGGGTGAACGATGGAGGCTGGCTGGGTAAAGAGCAGGAAAAGGAGCGGGCCGAAGTGGTTGGCTGGCTGCAACGAACGCAAAAGGTGAGGAGGTATTGTACTCGGGGCTTTGGGCGTGTGCCAAGGGTATTTATTATTACGCTGCAACCCAAGAGCCAACACAATGCATGATACCGACACACCTAGAGTGGCAGTAAGCGGTCTCACACCACACTGTGCCTGTTGATGCTGCTGGTTAATTATGTATTGCTTGTTGGATCCGTCCTGACGCAATATGTTATCCATAACCACCTCATGCTTAGCGCTATACGTCTGTATATCCCGTGGGAAAATACCTTGCTAGATTGGTTTAAGGATGCAAGGAATAGGTAATTAACTAGATTTATAAAACGTCTACTTAGGGGGTAATTTGATAAGCTTCTCTTTAATACCTAAAATAGATATATGTGTGGTGCAAAGTCCAGTATTCCCCAACAGGCCCATTAACCACTAAACTACAGCACGTCGACCAACTGCTGAGCCTGATAATCAACATGGAAGTTAAGCGGCCTCGGCCTCGGCTGCATCTGCCTTTGCTGCCACCAACTCGCCAACCGCCGTGATGCTCGCACCGCCCATGATATCAAAGACCGTCACGGCTGAGCCAAAGTCATTCCGGATCCAGTTGCGCAGTTCCACGGCCATGAGTGAATCAACGCCGTAGTCCGACAGCGTCTTTTCCGCCACGACATCATCCTGCTCAACGCCCAGTGACCGCGCGATCCTGCCCTTGAGCGCGTCCACGACAATCTCGCACCGGTCCTTGTTCGACGAGGCCGAGTGGAATTTCATCGCCGGCGTCAGCGCCTCCTTTTGCGCCGCCTCGCCGCCCGTGAGCGTCGACACTCTCTGGGCGCGCTCCTGCATCACCTTGAAGCCCTGGAAGAGAGGCCGCTGCAGCGAAGACGGGGCCTCCTCGCCCGCCTTCAGATCAAAGTCGAGGGGCGTCAAGGCACCGAGAAGCAGCTGGCACTGCTCTTCCACTTGAACACTCTGGGACGTCGGTAGCGCCGGGTCGCAGTAGTGGTCGAGGACGGCCAGGAGGTCGGCGCCCTGCACGGGAGCCATGTCGGACGTGGCCTCGCGGTTTCGCTGGTACTCGACGCGCTCGCTGATGATCCCCACGTCTGCCATCCAGCCAAGATCGAGGGAGACGGAGACGCCGAGGCCTTGGTTGTGGCGCATCCGGGCGAGGGCGTCTTGGTACGTGCAGCCCGAGCAGTAGTTGCTCTGAGCCATGGTTCCGTATATGCCTGCCAACGAAGACAGCAGGATGAAAAAGTTCATGTCTCGGGGCAGGAGCTCATGGAGGTTCCAGCTTGACAGGACCTTGGATTGGATGGTTGTTTTCCATTGCGCATGCGTCATGTTCTCAAAGATGGCATCCTGGAGAGCCATTGCAGCGTTGATGCAGCCCTTGATAGGAGGCATGGTAACTGCGCATTCTTCCAACACGGCCTGTAGTTTCTCACGGGACGAAACATCACAAGGCGGCGTTGTTATAGAAACACCACGACTTCTCAGCGTCTCCACGACGTCCGAGGCCGCCTTGGAGGAAGCACCGGATCGAGAGAGCACGATGAGATGCTTGGCGCCTTTGTCTGCCATCCACTGGAGTATACAACGCCCCAGACCGCCGAGGCCTCCAGCAACCACGTAGGATGAATCTGGATCAAATGCCCAAGTGCTCTTGTGCACTATCCGTTTCTATTGAGAGTGGTGTCAGAACAGAGACTTTACCACGATTCAAAAGCGCTACTTACCGAAACAATATCGCCATCTCCTTTTATAAGAAGGATTCGTCCCGTGTTCTTCCCACTTTGCATGTATCGAAATGCATTCTCAGTATCAGACAGCGAGTAGGCGTGAAGAGGTTGCGGAGCTCGAATGGTTCCTTCGCTAATAAGCTCAATCACTTTGCCCATAAGCTGAGAAGTCATCCTCTGATTTGTCAGTGTGATGTGGTACAAGTCCACGGCAGCAAATGACGCATTTTTAGCAAAGTGGCCCATCGATAGGGACGAGTTTGCTCGAATGTCAGCCTTTCCAATCTCAATGAAACGACCGTAGGGCGCGATGCATTCCCAGCTGGCTGTTAGACCGTCACCGGCAATAGAGTTGAGGACGACGTCGACGCCGTATCCCTTTGTCACGCGCTGGATTCCCTGGGCAAAGGATGTATTGCGACTGTAGAAGATGTGGTCGTCCGGAATGCCGAACTTGGACTTGAGCAACTCTCGTTTCTCTTCGGTGCCGACTGTTGCGAAAATCCTGGCGCGGGTTACCGCATAGTTAGTCTTAAGTCTCAAACCAAGCCAGTAGAGTAGATTCTGGGGATAGGGCACGATGAAGACGGACAAACGGGGAGAGGGACTTACTCTGCGCCAATCGACTTGGCTACTTCGACGGCCATCTGGCCAGTACCTCCGGCGGCCGAGTGAATCAGGATCTTCTCGCCACTCTGCAATCGGGCAATGTCCACCAGAGATTTCCACGCCGTCATGGCTGGAGTCATGGCAGCCACGACATCTTCCAAACTCACGCCGTCGGGAATCTTATGCACAACCTGCTTTGGCGCCCGAGGATGGCTCCGAATCGATCCCACGACACCCATCACAACACGATCACCAGGCTGGAACTCTCCAGAACATTCTGCCCCGACACGGCTGACGATGCCGCCACATTCGAATCCTAGACCTTCGTTGCCCAGTTTCGCGAGAGCAATGAAGATGTCACGGAAGCTGAGAGGCCAGACGGTAGCCTCGATCTCCACGTCGCCTGGAGCCAGATCGTCCCAGCGAGACGTATCTTCTACCCAACGCAGCGTCTCCAGCATTCCCGGGACTTCGGTGGTGAGCATCAGCGCTGGTCCAGTCTTCCAGGCCTCATCCCTGAGCTGGGGCTGGACACGAGCCAGTCGCTCCTCGTCGAACTGCTTTTCTTGGGCTAGGCGCCCAATGATGACTTGCCCATCCCGAACGACAAACTCAATATCCGATGAAGGAGATTCCTTTTTGAAGCAGTCGCGGAGAAGATCTGAGATGATGGAGGCGAGAGGCTGAGGGGTAGGAGACTCGACCGAGAGCGATACGATGTGCTTGTCCCTGTACTCGCTTCGGAGCCCGCGGAGCAGACCTGTTGTCGCTGCGAAGCTTGGGTCGTGGACGGCCTTGCCATCTTCGGTGACGGGTGCAGAAATCCAGAGCATGTTTGATACGCCTTGGATCAGACCCTGGATCGCTTGGAGCTCCGACTCGGACAGGTCGACGAGACGGGGCGAACCCACCTCGATCAGACTGACAACAACATCAGATGACAGAGCTAGATCTTCTTGACTAATCGACGCAAAATCTATCATTTTGGACACTGTGAAAGATTTCTCCAGCTCAACTGCAAGCTCTTGTTGAGCCTTGGAGTCCTGGTTGAGAAGAATAGTTATTTTTTGGTCGTCGGCATGGCCGTTGACGAGCCCGTTTTGCTCCTGGGAGATTGGCTCGGAAGTAGCTCTGGAGAGAAGGACGCTGCTGAAGTGGACAACTTCATTCTCAGTATCCTTCAGAGCCACATCGACCCCGGAGAACCCAGTCTCGCGCAGCAGCCTATCCCAGCCCTCGATGTCGACGAGAGGACTCCCCTGGCGCCAATCTTCCTCAGCGAGCCACCAGCCCGGTACTGACCCAAAGCCAATGTTGACCCATGCATTGTCCGGCGCGGTAGGTTCCTGGATGACCAGGTACCCTCCTGGCTTGAGGAGCTTCCTCAGGGTCGCCAATGATCTGGTTAGGTTCGAGGTGGCATGAAGCACGCTGCCGGCAAATATAACATCATGGCTTGCAGATGAGAAACCAGCTTCTTCCGGATCCTTTTCCAGATCGAGCACTCTAAAGTCCATTCGGTCCAGATAGTCGGAAAATCGACCACGAGCGCCGTCAAAGAAGGACGCCGAGATGTCAGTAAAGGTGTACGTATCAAACGCAGCCGACCCCGTCTTGGCCTCGAACTCCGTGAAAGCCGCCATGAGCTGGCTGGTGAAGCCTCCCGTCCCCGCGCCGACCTCGAGAATCTTCATGCCCGGATTCTCGTGCGTTGCGAGGTCCAGGAAGGCCTGCAGGCGCCCGTCCCGCATGTGCCTCGCGAACACGTTCTCGTAAAACTTCTCGCCCGACCTCGTCGCGAACATGAGCTCGACAGAGTCCGTCTCCCCGCGCAGAAGCTCCGGGAGGGCTCTGGCGACGGCCGGGAAGAAGAACCACTCTGGGTTTTGCGTCTCGCATTCGACCAGGAGGGATTCCAGGTCAGAGTTGCTCAGGTCTTTGCTTCTCCCCTCCTGTACTTGCAGGCTGTGCTGGTACTTGAGTGCGTCTCTGAATTTGCGCAGGTGCTCGGGGCCGCGGCGGATTTGGGACTCTGACACCTTCTTGAGGACCTTTCCGGCGGCTGTTCTGAGAGCGTGGGTGATCTTGGGGCAGTAAATCTCCATGACTGTGTCGTCAAAAGGTTTGTAGCTGTGTTGTAGTATACTCTGGAGGTCCCGCGCTCCCAAAAAGCTCAGCTTGGGCTTCCACGCGATGTTGTAGAGCAGCGTTCGATCAGGGGTTTGGTCGTGCTGCGACTGCATCGAGCCTGAAATCTCAACCATTGATAGGTTCTCGATGATGCAGAGGGGAGTCTTCTCATCAGAGACGCAGTATATGACCCCCCTGATGCCGGGAGAGGAACTGGTAGACACATCTTTTTGAGCATGGGATGCAAGATGGACGGACGAGGTCGCCTGTTGCCACGGAGCAGCCGAGATCCACGCCTTGGTAAGCTGCCTGGGCACCATGGTGGGAGAGTCAGAGCGCTGCAGGCCACCGGAGGTCTGTGCCAGGAGCATGTGGAAGATGGAATCCAGGACGGCGGGATGAACGGGGCTGCGGTGTGATTGTGGTTGCAACCTAGACATACTGATGCATGCCGTTGAAGATACCTCGCGATCCCAGGCAATCTCTTCAAGTAGCTGGAACGATTCTCCGTAGTTGAGACCATGCTCCTTGCAGAACTTGTAAAACGCAGGCGCTGGGATACCATCTCTACAGGTTGCCTGCATTTGCTGGACGTGGTCGCGGATATGCTCATTCTCCTGCTCCGTCTCACGATCTGGCGTCTTAGCTGTCGAATCTTCATATTGAATCTGGACATGGGTGCGGAAGCACTCGGTCCAGTGATCGGAGTGGTGGGTGAAGATGGTCACTTCAGACCACGAGGGCCTCTTCTCATCCGCCGTTTGGATTTGTCGTAGATGGACCTCTGTTTCGATGGCGTCCAAGGCACTTTCGCTGATTCTGATCGGGGCAATGAACTGCGCGTTTTTCACCACGAAACCGGATATCGTGCGGTTGGTCGCCGACTCAATGTCCATACTCGCTTCTATGGCCATTACAATCATTCCGGCTCCGGGGCAGAGAGTGATACCGTCAACCTTTTTGATAAGTCAGTAAGTTGCCAGAAAAGAAAATGCAAGGGCAAGGATAGAAAATGAAACATACAACATGATCTCTCAACCAAGGCATCGTTTCGGCACTCAACCAGTTTCTCCATCTCGGCTGCAACGGATTCCAGTCGATGGAACGGACTCCTAGCAGAAAGCCGGGAGAGTACTGTCGAGACCGGAACCCTTTGCTAATTCGAGACTCATCCCAGTAACGTCGGCTGCGATCAAAGGGATAAGGGGGACAGTCAACCAGGAAGGGCAGGTTGCCGTGGGACTGGCCATTCGCAGCTACTACGGATGCCGGATATCCTCGACAGAACAGCTCGCCAACTAAATTCAGTGCAGTGACAAGCGGAGAGTGCGAGTGCTTTAGTACAGAGTGGTAGTGTACCGAAGGAACAGAATCCGTGATTGGTCTCTTCAACGCGGCATGCGGACCGATCTCGATCACATCTTCGATGGAGCTACTGAGCTGAGCATCAGGGCCGTTATCCATTGGCCCGCTTAGAACTTGCAAAGCCTGGACGAAGCGGACGGGGGAGACCAAGTTGTCGACCCAGTACTGAGGTGTAGCCAACGGCTCCATGTCAATCAACTTCCCGCTGACGGAGCTAGCCATGAGAATACCGCGTGAAGTATTCTCTGCACGGCCATCGAGAAACTTCAAAAGATCGAGATATTCTTCGGAAACCTCCCTCATTGCTGGAGAATGGTAGGCTATTCCCGTCTTAATTATCTGCGCAAAGACTCCCTTCTGGTCCAGATCTTGTTTGACCAGTTCGATAGCGCTGGCAGGTCCCGACAGCGTAACATTGGTCGGACTGTTCATGCACGCGATGCAGACGCCGTCGATCTTCGATGATAGGCCCAGTTCATCTAGGTATTCGGGCACTCCCTCCTCGGGGAGATTGGCCGAGAGCATTGCTCCGGGAACCTTGGTCGTGTCCCGGAGGCGGCCAGCCAGCTGTCCACGGTAGTATGCAATCTTGCAAGCAGACTCGTGGGATAGGGCTCCGGCAGTATAGGCAGCCGCAATCTCACCGCTTGAATGCCCAACGACGGAGGCCGGGAGGATGTTGAAGCTTTGCAGGAGGTCAACAAGGGCAATCTGCAATGCCGTACACAACGGCTGGCTGAACTCTGGCCTGTTGATTGTCTCCTTATTGTCGAGTTCGGCTTCCTATGATGTTAGACTTTGCAATGAAATGCCGTTTTGTCGGCGGGCGGATGATGCTTACCGAATAGAGACCAATTGCACCCTAAAGAGGCGAAGATGGCATCTGAATCCTTAAGACTCTGCTTAAAGACGGGATAACGTTGCAGTTCAAGACCCATGCCCGCATACTGAGCTCCCTGGCCGGTGAAGGCGAAAGTTGAACCTGCCTTTTCCGCAGTGACCCTCGCTGGCTTCTCTGTAGGTAGGAATGGGCTTTCCTCGTCGGCGGAAATATCGCGGTCATCCAGTACCGTAAACGTCCGCCAAGGCATGACACTGCGACGCTTCGCGAGGGTGAACGCCAGCTGCTGGAGCTTGTTTCTTTCACCCGATATGTGCGCCCGATAATAAGTCTCATATGACTCTGTCATGCGCTGGGCGGCTGCTGCGTCTGCAGCGCTCCAAACGAGTAGCGTAGGCGGCTGAGGGCCTTCAATCTGGCGATTCGATATGCCGTTACGAGTGTCATCTCGTAGTAGCGTGGAGTCGGTGGTGCCATTGATAGCAGACTTCTCAGCCACTGAAAGATCGACACTGTGGTGATGACCCTCGAGGCCATGGCTCTTCAGATAGTGCAAAGCGTCGTCAAGTATGACATGGGCGTTGGCGCCGCCGAAACCGAACGAGTTTACAGACACTCGTCTCAAGCCAGAGTGTGGCCATTTTATGTTCCGATTTGGGACCTGATATCCGTTAAGTATAATTATAAGAATCAAAACTGGGTCTTAAGCTTACATGGAGGTTGTATCGTTCTGATTCGATCTCTGGGTTCCATTTTTCGAAGAGGGCGTTTGGGGGGATTATCCCTCGTTCAACGATCAGGATCGCTTTGATCAAGCCTGCGAGCCCGCTTGCCCCTTCTAGATGGCCAATGCTAGATTTGATAGATCCGCTGGTAGATGAGAATGAGTATACATCTCCAATTCTGTGCTAAACTCATCATCACGTACATCAGAATTGGGTCCTCTGGCGACCGGTGTTCGCCAAACACCTTTCCAATGGCCCTTGATTCAATAGGATCGCCAGTTGGTGTTCCCGTCCCTGCAGAACGATTAGTTGAAATCCGAAACTCAACTGTTCACAATCTTCTCACCATGAGCCTCAACATATCTGGTTTCAGTCAGCGGCAACTGTGCCTTGGCATAAGTGTGACGCATGAGTGCTTCCTGCGCCTCCGCACTAGGCTGAGTGAGACCTGGGGTTCTCCCGTCCTGGTTGGATGCTGTCCCGCGGATGACGGCGCGGATGATGTCGCCCGCCTCGAGTGCATCGCACAATGGCTTGATGACTATCGCCACTATGCCTTCGCCGCGAGCGTACCCGTTCGCCCGGGAGTCGAAGGAGAAACACTTGCTATCGGGAGATAAAAAGTTCAGATTGGACAATATAACCGAAGACTCGGGCGTTATTAGTATGTTAGTAGCCACTACGAGTGCCTGGATTTGTTTCCATGTCAGCATCCAGAAGGTACAGGGATAAACAGAGGATGATGTATAATCAGTCTGGGTGTTGAAATACGTACGGCACTCGCATCTCCGCTGGCCATCGCCTGGCAGGCCTGATCAAGTGCAATCATGCCGCTCGAACACGCCGTGTCCATGTATACGCTCGGACCTCTCAAGTCGAAATGCCAGCTGATGCGGTTCGCGAGCAGGGATGACGCAACACTGGTGGCAGATTGCCGAGGCATGGTATCGGGATCCTTGGAGTTCATCCTTGCCCAGTCCGTGGACATGGATGCCCCCATGACGGCGGTCCGACTACCGCGGACGCTCTCAATGGGTATTCCAGCTGTAAAACGTCTTAGTAAAGCCGGCAACTGAAAGAGTCCTGAGATTTATACCATTTTCAAACGCGTGATATGAAGCTTCAAGTGCCAGACGTTGCTGCGGATCTATGGTTTCTGCCTCCTTTGCTGGAACTGAGAAGAAGGGCGCATCAAAAGCACCAGGGTCTTCTTTCATAAAGTGTGCACCTTGCGCGAGAAGCTATTCAACCGCAAGTTAGCCATGTGCCGTTATATACTAGTACGGTATCTTGTGAAACGAGTCGCCTACATTGTTTATTCTCTTAGGCTCGTCCTTGCCTGCCAGGTTCACAGAGGCTCGGTCCTCTGGCCAACCAGTCATGCCGTTCTCGGCCTTCTCCAGCATGTTCCACAGGCCAGACTCGCTCACAGCGTCCCCGGGCATCTTGAACGAAAACCCAACGACGGCATACGGCCCAGGGGCCTTTGGTACGCTGTTTGAGTCCATTGCAGCAGAGTTGGGAGACCGAAGGAGCGTGTCAGAGCGTGATGAGGTGTCCTTTGCGGGGAGGACTGCACCACAAGTTCCGGATAAACGCAAGTAGCGAGGCTTTTCTATATGAAGCCTTGCGTGACAAAGTACTCCCTATAGCCTCTTATACTGTACATCCTCAGGATGTATACAGCAGTTGGCGTCCCAATTACCTATTCGGGGCATTACAGGAGTAAAGGATTCCGGCCGGTGCTTTCTTCGGGCTTAACCAATGCAACAGTAAGGAGTGCAACAGATAGATTGTCTCATTGGTGTACCTGGGAGCCAACAGTGCCAGTGCCCGAGGCAAATCACACGTCCGGGACCACAACCATGGCACGATTGTGACGCGTTGCCTTACGGGTGGATATGTGCACGCAGCTCAGCACAGCCCATCTCACCCGTCACATTGAGCAGGGAGGATGGTGTCTGGAGGACAGCATCTATGGGGCCCCCGAGCTTGGCAGCCTACTCAGGCTTTCTAAATGTACTGTGCGCGTTATGCAGCTATGTTGCGTCCGAGGATGCCGAGTGCCTTGGCCCCCATAATGCAATGCGACCCTGTTTGTGGTTGTGCCTCTTAGCACCCAATCATTGGTGACTGTAACCCAAATAAAGAAGTCGTGACACACCCGGGCGTCTTACCAGATCGGTTGCCTAGTGGAGCGGACTTAGGAAGCAATCTTGAAGTATCTTGAGCAAGCCAGCGATTTTCATTGGTCTGTTTGTAAAATCTACCCCTGTTCAATCCTGCTATTGTAGGAGCTGAGATGAGAATGACTAACGCACGTTCTAGGCTCTATCTATGCTACGATAACCTGCTTCCTCTTGAACATCAGTAGGGTTGCAGGCACCTGGGCCGCGGCAAAGGCGCACAGGACCAACATCTGGCGGTTGTAACCCTCCGAGAGAATCTGCCTGACGACCTCCTGCGTACTCTCAGGTAGTATGTCACTCTCGCCAGCCAGAAAGAGCTCCGTGGGCTCCGCAATGCCCAGATCCCTCAGGCGGGACATTCCATATCCGTTGAAGACCGAGGTGGCGATGGCCAGCCCGAACGCGCTGCCCATGTACCGAAACTGGTTTGCTGCGCCCATCCCCACGGCTGCCAGCGGTTAGCACACGCCAAGTATGGGGAGATTCTGCAAGGGTCTCACCATGATCTCGCTTCTCGGTCGTGAATGGGACCATCAGATAAAGGATCTGGTAGTTGACTCCGCATCCCACCCCGCAGAGCACCTCGTAACCGTAGGTTGCAGGATGCAGCTCGGTCGAGGCCTCCAACGTGCTCAGCAGCGCGAATCCAACGATCTGGAAAGCACTCCCACACAGCGTCATGTAAATGGCTGGCACTTTGAGCCTGCTGGCTATATTCGCGCTCGCAATGGAGCCGATGGAGAACGACGCGCCAAACGGGATGATTCTGACGCCGGCGTCGAAGCTTGACATGCCGTTGATGAGCTGAAAGCGCTGGGGAAGTTGGAAGTTTAAGACTGCCATTGGTCCTCCCACCAGCAAGAAGCCACTGTGATGTTGTTAATATTCAGGTAAAAAGGGGGGGTGTTTAATCAAAAGTTAGGGGCCTACAGCATTATCCCGATCAGCACACGGTTGGTGAAAAACCTCCACGGAAGAACAGGCTCTCTGATTCCATCGGAGCGAGTAACATGGCGTTCCCAAAGCAAGAGGGCGGCCCAGAAAACGACGGAGAGCACAAGTAGGCTTATGACATAGGCCGAGTCCCAAGCAAATCTTGCATCGGCTTCTTGAAATCCTGCTGTGAACGTAACCGTTGCCGCCATAACGAGGAAGAAGCCGAGAATGTCTATTCTTGCGCGGGTTTTTGACGGGACTATATTGGCAAGGACGCTTTGATCCGGACGCAGGTGATGCGGGAAGCCTTTGGGTAAACCCACCAGAGCAAGTAGCAAGGCAAAAGCTCCCAATGGAACGCTTGACACGGCGATACATCAGAGGACGATCAAACGTCGAGGGAGAGGGTACTCACTTCAGCCAGAATATCCATCTCCAGGTTGAATGGTCGCAGATGGCGCCTCCAATGATCGGCCCCAGGATCATGGCCATCACAATGGCGATGCCGGTCCGCGCCACTACCGGCCCAAGTTTTGCAGGCGGAACAAGCTCCACCATCATGATGGCGCAGAGCGCGAAACAGCCGCCGGCTCCAACACCCTGAAAGGCTCGCAGCACAACTCTTCAAGCGGAGACTGTGAGATTCAATACATGATTTAGGAGTTGAGGTAGGACTCACAGCTGCGTCATGTTCTGGGCAGCACCACAACCCCCAGATAAGGCCGTGAAAATGACAATAGAGACAATGAGGACGAGCTTGCGGCCTAGAATGTCACTGAGCTTGGCAGAGATGACTATGACGGCGACATAGCCAAGTTGGTAGCTGGAGAGGACCCAGCTCGCCGTTTCAAAGCTGTCGAGGTCCTTTGAAATGGCCAATAGCGCAGTAACGGCGATAAAAGTCTCTATTGTTGTCAAGAAGAAAAGTAATGCAATCCTGCTATCCGTCTTAGCGTTCGTTCATCCATGTAAGATATGAGGACACGGGTTATAGCTGGAGAACAAACATTCCCATCATGGTCCATAGGCGTATGCCATGGGGGTAAACGATAGCCTCATCTCGAGAGGAATTCAACGATGCACTGCTGCCCCGGACCTGTTCAGCCTCGGCCTCCTCTGTGGAGTCGGACGGGATGACAGCGGCTTCCTTGGAAACGGGGCTAGATCCCATGGTAAGATCATTCATCTCGTCAGATTTGCCAGCCACCCAGCTAGCCAAGAGATAGGTTGTGCACGGAGACATATAAGCTGGCAGGGAAAAGCATACCGGAAACATTACCTGAATGGGGGGGACAAGTGCCTGCATTCCGCCCATTACCACTCCAACTCGCTCCGTTGCCGCCCCCAGCTAAGAGCCAAGGCGCGTGTTTCTTCTCCTCGAATGATATGCGAGCGGCTTCTTACATGGCGCACCCCTCCCCCAAAACAGGATTCGTTTTGCTCGCATGCATAATTACTGTCGCGGGGCCACACAAGACGCAACACAACACGGCATTCCTTCCATGTAACATCATCTTCTTACTGGCGCGTCAGAATTAGAAATCCGGCCAGAGTCGTCTTCCCCTGCCTGTTGGATCTCAAATCGCGCGGGATAGCATTTTCTAACCCTACAAGGCATAAGATATCCTCCCTGGGCCGATAGCGCGAATCTTCCCTTCAACGTATTCAACACATACGCTGCTCATTTTGTGCGACCGCCAACGAGAGCCTCGAAGCATTTTCGCAATGGATTTGTTGAGAGATAATTTTCTGAAGCTTTCTCCGGAAGTGCAGGAGGCGGTGCTGAACAGCGCAGGCATGCCGACTCCGGAGGGGGAGACGAGAAACCTCGACGACCCGCCCAACGGCAACAAGTATGTCATTGCTCTCGTCTCCGTGTCTCTCTCCTTGACATTCACATTGGGCTTGCTCCGAATGTGGGTGAGGACCATTCAGGTCAAGAAATGGAACATTGAAGACTGTACGTATGCTTCCTATTTTCCAAAGCATTTATTCACTAACACAAGATACTGGCAGACCTTGGATTTGCAGCATATGTATGTATAGAGCTCCCTAGGATACATCTGGACCTCTATGAGCTTGAGCTGACCTGATATCCCAAGGGCCCCTACGCTGGCAGCGTCTGGGTCATGGTCTCTTGCATGCACACGGGAGGCTTCCTGGTCCACCAGTGGAACGTGCGCATTGGGGACCTCCTAGACATTCTATATGTTGGTTCCCCTCCTATTGGCTGCCTGTGCCCTCACGGGCCATGTGTCCGTCCAAGCTAACAAGTACAGATCCTCATCATACTACGCATATGTTACGTGCTGGTCATGATTCTGGCCAAGTCGGCCATCATCCTAGAGTGGACACGCATCTTTGTCCCGCGGGGCACCAGGAACAAGTTCTTCTGGTTCAGCCGGGCCATGCTCGTGTTCAATATTGTCGCATATGTCGTCCTCATCATCTTTTCTCTTATCTCGTGCGTCCCCATCCAAAAGAGGTGGAAGCCTTGGGCCGAGGGCAAATGCTTCTGGAGCGCCAAGTCGCTTGATGTGACTACTGCCTGGGTCAACTTGTTTATTGACGTCTTCATTCTCGTCTTACCACAGCGAATCATCTGGACTCTCCAACTAAACACCGGACGCAAGATTGGTATTTCAGTCATATTCTCCGTCGGTCTGATGTAGGTTAACCCTTCCCATCTTGCGCACGAGTTTGCCAAAGCTAAGCGTTCGCTAATCAAACATCCGGCGGCAGCGCCGTTGCCTGTGCGGCTGGACGGACATGGTCGAATATGACGCTCGACTACGCAGGCGACACGTCATACGACGCATCCATCAACACCATCTGGGGGTGGAGCGAGATGACTTGCGTCCTGATCGTGTTCTACGCTCCCGGGGCGGCCAAGGCCTTCACCAAGCAGGGAGTGTTCCACGGCATGCTCTCCTCCCTGCGGTCCTGGAGGCGTCTGGATGGCTCCAAGCAGTCAAACTACCAGAGCGCCGATAGCAAGGGCTACCCGCCAGTCGACACCTCCAGCAGCCAGAACCTGACGGCGACGGAGATGGAGGTGATGAGATCCCATGGCCACCATCGCGATGCTGAGGTTGGCTTCGGCGATGTTGGTACTGGCCATGGCATTACGAGGATCACCAAGCTAGAGACGCGCGTGCGCAGCGCATCCAATACCTCGACTGATCCCGTCATAGAACACCAGCACCCGTGGATGGGCGACAGGAGGTAGAGCAGGTTCAATTTGGTACCTTGGGGGGGGGGGGTTTCTGAGCATCGCTCGCACATAGTGTGCAATTTATATATATAGTCTGTAAAGTAGCAAGTCAGTATTAAATTAGCTCATTGGTTTTGAGCTAGTTGGGAGTTCAAGGTGATGACATTTTTAGCAAATAGCTTTTCAAGGTGAAAATAGTAAAAGTATTATAGTTAATAACTAAGTTAGTTATTTTATTATATACTATTTAAAGGAAATAAATAAACAAATTATTCTAAATTATTCATATTCTACCTATATAAATAAGAATTACTTACAGCGTTTATTTTTTATCGCAAGCGTTCATAAATAGAGTAGTAGCTATAGCTAGCTTAAAACTATATTAAAGTCAATCTTTAAGCTAAGATTAATTAAGCACCTCGCATTAGCTAGCTACACTAGTATTAGTGAGTTTAATATACCTATATTATTCAGAAACTAAAATAAGGTAATATTAATCAACCTATGTCGCCTCCTAAGGTAAGGTACCTACTTTGGGAAATACCGTCGCAGCAGAGGAACGGCGAATGATACCTCCGAGCTTGGCGAGTCTTGTACAGAAAGCAAACTTGGTCATATTGATTAAATTCACATTAGCCTGTATACGCATGTACGTGAAATCCCCCCTTTTACAAAAGGACTTCCTGCAGGCGAGGGACGACACTGCGCATCGTAAGTGTTTCCCTTTACTCAAGGGGCATTTGGTTCAACATATCACCGCGGATGCCACCCGTTGGAGGCGAACCTGCAGGTGGCTTGTCTGCCTTGCTTACCCCATGTGATATCACCAGATCCCGAAGCATTTACGGTTCAAAAACGTGTTTATAATAAGGCCACAGCAGTAGGTTGGATATGTAATACTACACTTTGTGTCGCCTCGATTCCTTCTGCCTCCTTTGACCACATGGCTGATGGTGACATTCAGGGGACAACGTCGCAGCTGTCCTTGATGTCACCAGGAGGAGGTGTATACTGCGATTGGACATGGCTTGTCAGTTCGTAGTACCAGTTGGTCGATTGTCTCGGTGTTACTCGTACGATGAATACGGTTGGTGTGGGTTGCAATGCAGCAACACAGTACGAAAAACTCGAGACTGCCCGGTGGGGCGCCATATTTAATAATATTTGCATATTGATTGATGACTGCAGCAATTGATTGTTGCGTAAGGGGGTGGACGCGCCAAGCTCCCCTTTCGATCATCACACCATCTTACTGCATAAGCTTATCAGCATGTCTATGTTGGCTGAACTCTATTATCACCTTGTTTCAAGTGTAAGCTCAACCCGTATAAGCGGGACCTTCCGACGGGATGGACTCAACTTGATTTTGTAAATCCACCAAGGCGGACATCGATCAACGCCTGGCTCACGATGGATTATTCAGCCTCAAAATCCGTGACCATCGTCACCGCTGTATACGCCAGTGTTTTATTGGTAGGAACAATCAATACTGCTTTTGAATAATAGTTGTGGGCGAGAGAAGGCTAACGAGGTTACGTTGCGCCAGCTACTCCTTTTTGCTGGTTTCAGACTGGCTTTTCATCCTTTGGCAAAATATCCTGGGCCTCTTATATCCAAGCTCACTGGCGGTTATGCTGGATTCCACGCGATCAAGAAAGACTTGCATCTCGTCACGTACCGCGACCATCTCAAATATGGTGAGTACAGATCAGAGTTACATTGCTAGCCTTCAATGGTAATCTGACTGTCCCTAGGCCCTGTTTACAGGCAGAGTCCAAATCGCCTGGTGTTTAACTCTGTCGAGGCGCTTCACGGTGAGCCTTGAAGTCCTCCAGATCTCTTCTTTCAATTGCTAATCCAACAGACATCTATGCCAACCCGCATGTGACCAAGGCAGACTCGTACAAATACACCCGCATGCGCAACAAGACAAGCCTTTTCAATGCGCTGGAGAAGAAAGATCACAGGCGTAGGCGGAGCATCATCGGCCACGTCATTTCCGAACAGTCTATGCGCAAGTTTGAGCCCACCATGATGAGCCAGGTCGACATCTTTCTCGAGCAGCTGCTGCTGACAAGTCAGCACACCGAAACTGTCAATATGACGCCGAGATTCCAACGCCTCGCCATTGACATCATCTGTCTTCTCGGTTTCGGCTACTCCATGCGCTCCCAGGCCGAGGAAAAGATGCGGTTCGTGGGCGAGGCCATGAACGCCGTTAGCGCCCGTTTGCATATTTTCATGACGTGGTCGGTTTTTGCCTGGCTTGACCCTGGCATCCAATTCATCTTCAAATCGAGGATAGACCGGCTGCGGGACGCTCTTGGTAATATGATTGAGGAGCGCATGGCAAAGCCCAAGGATGCCGTCTATGACCTCCTATCCATCACTAGCGATGCCACTATTCATGCAGCCGAGCAGGAAGGTCTTCGTGGCAGTGAGTTGTGGGCCGAGGCTGGCATTTTCTTCACAGCAGGTTAGTCACTTCTCTTGTTTCTGCTTACCAAAGCACATCGTAATTGTCAAGTTCTCTGAAGCTGATATCCATTATTGCGTGGGTGCAGGGGGTTCTACGACAGCCACAGCTCTGTCTTCTGCCTTCTTTTACCTCTCGCGACACCCAGCTGCCTACGAAACCCTCGCCTCGGAAGTTCGCACCACTTTCAAGTCCGCGTCTGATATCCGAGGTGGGCCCAAGTTGACGGGGTGTAAGTATCTGCGAGCAGTGATTGATGAGACGATGCGCATGTCTCCCCCATCGCTCGGAACTCCATGGCGTCAGGAAGACCCGATGCTGCCCAAATCCAAGCCTTTCGTGGTCGACGGTCACGAGATTCCTCCAGGCACTGTTGTCGGCGTCAACACATATTGCATCCATCACAACGACAAGTATTTCCCTGACTCCTTTTCATTCCGCCCAGATCGCTGGTTGGAGAAGGAGGGAGAAACAGTGCAAGAAACGAAGGCGCGTGCCACTATGCGACGGGCCTTTGCCCCCTTTTCTGTGGGAGAGCGTAGCTGCGCAGGGAAGGCCATGGCTTATCTTGAATTGAACCTGACCCTGGCCAAGACTTTATGGTACTTTGATTTCGAGAAGACGACTGGGAGGGACGGTCAACTGGGAGCTGGAAAGCCAGGCGCAGCACTTGGGAGGCACAGGCCGGGTGAGTATCAACTCTATGATATCTTCACTGCCGATCACGATGGGCCCAATCTCGTCTTTAAGACACGGGAGGAGTATTGGCGGGAACTGGTCAGCCATGTGGAGGCAGAATAATGAAACTCGATAGGTGCTGCGGCTTGGTGATGTAACACGTGTATAATTATTTTAGGGGAGGAGTTTGACGAGCTATTCCCATCTCAACAGAAATACGAAAACTAGTTTCCTGCCACGAAGTTAACTAACTTATTTATCCATAGGTAAGCTTCGAATTTGGTAAACACTAGTAAATTTTTGTATATAGAATTAAGTTATATTACAAACAGGAGTGAGAGAGGCATGCAGCTGGTAAGAGGTCCCCATCGTTAGATGACCCTCTCAAAGACTGAAAATCTTGAATATATCTAAGCGAAAAATCTACACTTGAGACCCCTAAGTGCGGGTAGTTTAGCAATTATACCACCACACTTTTCTTTGGTAGGAATTTGTGCCAAGAAGCAAGTTGCAATGAATCATCCCTCTGTCAAACGGGCTCCTTATTTGACAAGAAGTCAACTCAACATTGCCTGAATAAGCGGCTACCGGGTAGCTTGACTCTCTGAGCCCCCTTCTCTTTGCGATCCAGTACGTCAACACGTCTCCTGTCAAAGGGGGGGAGGCTTTTTAATCAGTCGGTTAATACTTTGTTCATGGAGGCGTGGGAACTGCCAAATCAGATTCCCGAATAGACGTTTCGAATTCGAAACTGCAGGAACTGAGGAAAATGGTGTGGCGACAGTTTGAAAACAAGCCCAGGAAGCCTCACTGTGTGGACTCCGTACAAGAACCAGAACCAATGATGAGTTATATGCGTATCGCAGATCTGTACACTTGTAGCCTGTGCTGAGTGGTTACACTCCTTGAGGCAGATATGTCGACTGGGATGCAATGGTTGCTGCCAATTCCGCAACCGAACGCTTGCCCACAATCTCGAATATAGACACATTACTCTTGAGCTGGTTGGATATCCAATTCCGAAGCTCGACTGCAACAAGGCTGTCAACTCCGTACGTGGAGGGCGGCTGACTCGAGTCCAGGTCTTCCAGGGCACGATTCGTCAATTTGGCTAGCCGCTGCATTATACCTGTGAGGACAATTTCGACGGCCGTAGTCAGTGAAGACACCTTGGAAAGTTCTCTTTCGAAATCCTGATCCCCGCCGCCCTGCGAGTCTTGACCGGGTTCGCTGCCGGATTTGAGTGGGAGGAAGCGAGCTTCGGATAGCCAGTAAGGCTCGGGGATATCCGCTCGTTTGAAATACGACTGGTGAGAGAGACCAATAATGGACTGTGAGGGAGTTTGCTGAGCTATGGCCGCGCGCACTGCGATGAGTACATGCTGTTCGTTCATACCTACGAGGCCTCCGGCACTGAGAAGTTGAAATGCTTCATTTTTCTCGGTGGCCACACCGACATCTGTGACTAGACTGAGGTTGATGCTCGAGCCTGGGAGTCCAATACTGCGCCTGTAATGTACGAAAGCATCTTGAAATGTGTTGCCTAGAGACCAAAGCTTATCAATATCAAGAACAGCCAACAGGGTGAGTGTGGATTGGAGAGAACCTACCGGAGTTATAATTGCTCTGCCCCCGGGACCCGATTATGCCTGCGACAGAAGAGAGACAGATGAAGAAGTCCAGGTCTGATGGAAGATACTGATGAAGGTTCTTCGTAGTGTTGACCTTTGACCTAAGGACAGAGTTCCACTGGTCTGCGCCTAGCTTCTGGAATATCCCGTCTTGAAGCTGCATCGCGCAATTGATCATTCCTCTTATGGGAGGCACACCGGGCTGGATAGAGGCAAGTGCCGCTTCAAGGTGTGATGCCTCACCGACATCACATGTCAATGCCCTCGCATCAACCCCTGAAGCTCTCAGTCGTCTCAAAAAGTCCTTTTGGTTCTCGTTTGACGGCCCTTTGCGGGAAAGGAATATGAGGGTTTTCGCCCCCATTTCAACCATCATGCTGGCAATAGATCGGCCAATGCCCCCTAAGCCACCTATAAGCAAATATGAAACTTCTGCTGAAAGCCTCTCGGCGTAGATGTCGGGCGGTGTAATCTATGAGAATTGTCAGTAAAGGCTTTGGCCTAATTAACGCCCATTCACGACGGTTTGGCTGTAAACTTACAGTGACCATCGCGCCGGGTCGGTGGTCAATCACTAGCTTCCCATGATGTCTCCCAGATTGCATGTCACGGAAAGCATTGCCCAAGTTTGAAATGTCGTAAGACGTGGTGGGTAGAGGTACCACCACGCCGTTCTCAAGCATCTGTCCGACCTTGGCAAATACAGCCTGGAATCTGTCCGGGAAGTGCGCCACTTGGTGCAAGATATCAACCCCCGAAAACGTGATATTGTTGGCAAAATGCATCATTTCCAAGCCTGTGTTGTCCAAGATGTCGCGTTTACCAAGCTCTACAAAGCGCCCGAAAGGTGCGACGCAGAGCCAAGTGTAGCGCAGGGCTTCGCCAGCAAGAGAGTTGAGGACAACGTCGACTCCGCGGCCGGACGTGAGTCTCATGACGCCATCCTTGAACGAGAGACCACGGCTGTGCAATATGTGAGAACTGTCGAGACCGTACTTTGAGACGAGGAAAGCCCGCTTCTCCGGAGTAGACACTGTAGCAATAATGGAAGCACCAACGTGTTGGGCTACGCGAATCGCTGCTTGCCCGACACCGCCCGCCGCAGAGTGGATGAGAACTGTTTCGCCCGGCTGTAGACGGGCAATGTCGATGAGACTATGTACAACTGTTGTGTATACGCAAGTGAGACTCGCAGCTTCGCCGTGGGAGAGGTGCGCAGGTTTCTTCCGGAATGTGCGATAGTCAGCCGTAATGGTAGTTGCGATACACCCACTGTGCATACCGTACACGTCGTCACCAGGTTGAATGTCTCGAACAGCCTTGCCCACGCGAAGAACGGTGCCGCTGCACTCTATACCGAGAGTGTTGTCATTGAGCTGGCCCATGGCTACCATGACGTCTCTGAAGTTGAGGGCTGTGGCCCTGACCCTGATCTTGATGTGATTATCTGACAGAGGTTGGTCCCTCGCATCATGGCGACGCTCGAGAAAAGTTAGAGTGTCCAGCGATCCAGGAGCCGCGATAGATAGATTCATTTGCCGGCTATCCTCGGAGCTCGGATACGGCACCGTGAGCGAGGGCATCCTGGGGGAGCTCCTTTGTAGCAGCGCTGTCATGGCCGAGTCTGGGTATATACGCTCGATGTGGACTACTCCGTCTATCAGATGGAAGTCCTTGTCGGCGGTGGGGTCATCCTGGGACGAGTATATTTTCTGAATTATGTGCGATACACAAACCGCTCGCTCGTTATAGTCAGGCTCGCCATCAGCACCGCTCACCTGCAACACCCCGATGCAGGCGTCGGCATCCTCCGCTCTGATTGTACGAACCATGCCGTCAAGCGTAGCGCCAGAAGGCTGGTGTAATGTAACCCAGAGGATCCCGCTACACTCGCGGACGGCTTGTTGAACAATACCAAGAAACTCGTCGGTGAATTGGGAGGGCAATAACGACAACTCGTCTTCGACACATATCACAAGGAACGTGCCTGACAAGTCCTCGTTGGCCAAATTGGCGAAGGGCATTTGGCGAACCTGGCAACCCTTTTCCCTTAGAGCAGGCTTGAGGGCATTTAGTGTTGCACTCGAACGTTCTGGCACAGCGTGAAGCGAAGAGAGGATGACTTTGTCCGGCAAACGTGATGGTTGGGACGGTGCGAGGCTTATGGCGAACGACAGCGGCGGGGAAATGGTGTCTACGGCTCCTCTCACGTGAACATCGAAGCCTGGTAGGTTGAGTATGGTATCTTCGATATGCTTAGCTTCACCGACCACAAGCACGGCTCCGGACCTATATTGTTAGTTTGTTCATGGCTCCTTACAGTCTTCCATGGAGACTCACTGTTCAACCCTATCTCTAATGGCTCCGAACCCGGTTAAAGAAGTCTCTCCCGTCAAGGATAGTGGATCGTCAGTTATTATGAGGTCAAAAACCTCTGTCGCAGACCCATCGCTAGTCGAAGCACTAAGCTCGTTCAACGATTTCGAGGCGAATTGGAACGAGCTGGGGAGGCTGTCTGGCTCCGCGGCCAGGCAATCTTCCTCGGCCACGACCATGTAAGACAAGTATACGCCCGGAAAGTGGGCAGATTGGCCCAGCGAATGGATCAAAAGGTCTCGAATGGTTCCGGACTTCGAGAGATCTAGTACCCTGAGTCCAGGCTGTTTATTAGCTGCGGCCCCGATGAAGTACGCAACCGAGTCAACCAGGCCGCTGGACAGGAACCTATGTCCTTCTGGACATGGTTCGTCAATGCGGGACTGAATCCTCTGAGGCTCCGTCGGCGTGCCGAACTTGGCCACCTGGCGTTGTAGTATCCCTTCTATCTCTGCGGCCGAATGCATAGCAAAGTCAGGTCCTCGGCGAGGTACAAACGAGGTGAGATCTGAAGAGGCTTTGCTCGCCTGGCCTTGTCCCATGAACCATTGTTTGAGATCCATCGTCTCCTCTATTTGCTTCGCCACACCATTTCGCTGCGAACTTGACCCAGCCAGTGGTACAGTCTGGCATCCATGGATTGCGATGAGCGGCTTTTTCCAGTCCTTATCCGAAGCAATAATGTCTGTGATAAGTCGATCTGGTGATGGGGCGAAGGAGTTGCAGCGACCATAGTATAAGCTCCCGGGATGAGAGTCGAAATCGTTGGAGATGTACACGGACTCGGCAAATACGGGGACTCGAGCTGTGAATGTACCTGTACCGGTATCCGTGTTCGAAATCAGGAGGTGAACAAATGTATCGAGCACGGCTGGGTGGATGAGATGCGGGCTTTCTCTCTTGCCGGGGGCCCAGTGAGCTGTGTCCGTGACCTTGACCTGGAAAACTGACAGGCGGTCACGGGCTTTTAAGTCAACAACACACTGAAAGGAAGGGCCAAGGTTAAGCCCGGAAGCAGATATCTATGAAGTGATGTTTAGCGGACGACAATTAGAGTTGTACTTAGCAATCGGCCCAAGGGGTTGTACGAACGTCTTGATAGAATTGATCCACCTCTTTTGAAGGGAGATTGGATGCGACGGCGGATTCATAGAGTTGCCTTGCTGTTTCAGAGCGAGAAGCCTTCTCGTGATAGAACCCTGATCCAACTTGAGGTTGTCGAGACTCAATCCTCACGAGGCCTTGACAGTTCGAAGTCCACTTCCCCTTCTCATTGCGGCTGGAGATGGTGAAGTCTGTCCAAGCGTTACTGGAGGCGCGAGATCCATTCCTCCATGGACGGAATTGCAGACTTGTCTCCACAGATTCGTCTGTCGTCACAATGAGGGCATTTTCGACCTTGAGATCTCTGAAGACGAAGCCCTCAATCTCTGATGTATCGTGTATCTGTCTCAGAGCCTCAACAACCATGACGATCATGCCCGCCATCGGGTAGATATTGGTATCTTGAAACTGATGATGGCGAATCCAGGGTTGTTCAAAAGTTCTGAGGTAGTTCCTCCACCGAGGCTCATCATCTGTGGACAGTTCATCCCGGGTTCCCAGGAAGTCTTGCCGGCTCTGTTCCCTCATTCTGTAGCCAGCGGCAGCGGCAGACTCGTTCCAGTACCGCGTGCTGTGGTTCCACACATAGGACGGCAGAGACGGAAGGGTGGCTGTCGAGTTTTGACCAACAGCCTTGGACCTCGTCACGGCACGTGTGTTTATTGCGATACCAACTGTAAGGAGATCTCCCATGGCTTCCAATGCTGTCTCGGTCGCATCGTAGCCTCTAGACAGCATGGACGTGTACAGAGGAGTCGTGGCTGCGTTGGCCAATGGCTCCAGGATCTGGCTGAGGGGACCTTTCAGAGCAGCGTGCGGTCCTATTTCCACAAAAGCGGCTATCTTGAACCGATTTGATTTTGACCCTGTTGTACGGCTTTGTTGGAGCTTCCAGCCCTTTGCCACGGCAGCAGAAAATTGGACAGGATTGAGTAAATTCTTGACCCAGTAAGACGCACTCAAGTCCCGAGGCAGCACAACTTCCCCGGTGACAGACGAAACCATTGTCACCATGTCATTCCCCACGTTTGTCGCGGTATCCGCTATCAAAGACAAATACTTGCTGGCGATTGGTTTCATATGATGCGAGTGGTAAGCAGTGCGGACCTTCAACTTGCGGGCAAAGAAGTTGTCGCCGCTGATGAGCGCTACAGCTTCATCGACCGCGGCAACGTCACCAGAAAGAGTGACACTGGACGGGCTGTTGACGCAAGCGATGACGACTTTGCCTCTGTCAACTCTCTCAATATATTCTGCAGCTGTCTCGGGTCCAACACCGACAGCGGCCATCGCGCCTTGCGTCTTGATATCGCTGGACAGTTTGCCTCTCCAATAGGCAATTCCGAGAGCATCCCTCTTGCTTATGGCTTGCTTGCAGTATGCTGCCGCTATCTCCCCACTGGAATGACCTATGACGAGACGAGGCCTGACACTCCAAGACTCGAGTAGATCGACGAGCGCAATCTGTAACGCGGTACAGATGGGTTGGCTGAAGGCAGGATCGTTCACTCGGCTGTGCTTTTCGTCCCGTCGGAGCTCTTCCATCAGATCCCAGCCGGAGCCAAGCTTGATGAAGCAGTCGCCAGATTCGATAAGCGACCGGCGAAAGATTGAGTACTGAAGAAGCTCACGGCCCATAGCGAACCATTGCGCCCCCTGACCAGTGAAAATGAAACCCAGGTCTGAAGCTCTTGAAAATTTTCTCGGCGGATTCATGGGTCGTTCCAGCTTCTCGACGAGGTCTTGGATGCTTGAAGCTACCATGTATCCAGACCACAAAAGCTTGGAACGTTTGTTTAATAAGGTGTACGATACTCCGTCCAACAACCTGGCTTCTTCCGTTCTGTCCTTGGTATCGGTGCTTTGGAGGAATTGTCGAAGTCGTAGAGCGGCCGCGGCGATGCCAGACTTTTCGGTAGTCGACAGAATGAAGAGTCTGTTCCTACGGCCTTCGCCGTCGCTATGATTTGACACTGGGTGAGGGCCTTGATGAACCATTGTGCCATTTTGAGACCTAAGCGAGAAGTAGCACCGAGTGTGAGCTATGGAACTGTCCAGTAGTAGCCTGCAAGAAGGATGCATTTAGTCCAAGATTCAGACTAAAGACTTACTGGAGTGTCTGAAGAATGCTGAGATCTTCCTTTAGCAAGTTGGTGCTCGTGGTATGTGACCCCACAAGCTTGCGTGCCGTCAGATAGTGATACGCATCGTCCATGATGCAGTGAGCATTTGCTCCGCCATACCCAAAGCTATAGTATTACATTAGCGAGTCGTATATTGCAAAACTGTTCCTAGGGAATTCTCCATACCTGTTTATGCTGATGCGTCTGAGCCCCGGTGGCCAAGGAACGTGCGTCTTTGGGATTTCAATATTCCACTCTTCTGCCCGGATCTTAGGGTTGATCGTGACCAAGCCATGGGTAGGAGCAATTAGTCCGCTCTCCAAGCTGTAAATGCTCTTTATCAGACTGGCTATTCCACTTGCACCCTCCAAATGTCCTATGTTACTCTTCACTGATCCAACTCTGATTGGCTCGTCCCTTACAGAGCCAAACACCGCCCCTATGGCGGAACACTCGGTTGGATCGCCGGCGTTGGTGCCTGTTCCGTGCGCCTCGAAGTAGCCGGTACCAGCAGGGTCAAGGCCAGCCTTCGCGTACACAGATCGGATGAGCTCTTCTTGCCTCTTAGCGGAGGGAAGAGTGATTCCTGGAGTCTTTCCGTCCTGGTTCACGCCAGTGCCACGGATGACGGCGCGGATGACGTCGCCGTCTCGGATCGCGTCTCGGACTGGCTTGAGAACAACGAAGCCGCCTCCTTCCCCTCGTGCGTAGCCGTTGGCTGACTTGTCGAACGAGTGGCATTGGCTATCAGGGCTCAGGAAGGACAAGGTCGACATGAAGACAGTGAAGTGCGGTAGGAGTATGAGGGACAATCCGCCAACTAGGGCCTGAGTTGTATCACTTGTTAGCAGGGGAATCCTATCCCACTTTTTGGCGAGGAATTTGAATGAACAAGAATATGTACCATCTTAGTTTCACCAGACTGCAGACTCTTGCAAGCCAGGTTCAATGCAGTCAAAGAGGACGAACAGGCGGTGTCGACTGTGACACTCTGACCACGAAGATTGAAAAACCACGAGACGCGGTTGGCGACCAGTGCGGGACCGGTACCAGTTGCAGTGTACCTCCTAGGCTGATGGTCAGGCCGACGTAAGCTGTTTGGAGCCGATGAAACGATTTCACTTACGCGGAACTATCTATATCGCGAGTTTGAATATCCCAGTAGTCTCGTTGGCACGCACCAATAAAACACGATATATCGGCGCCATCAACACATCGAATGGTGAGGCCAGCTGTTGTTTGTTCATTCCGTCAGAATTTGCATGTACAACCAAAAAGGCGAGGGCTACTCTGTAAGGAAACGGCCCCCTTTTCTTACCATTCTCAAGTCCTTCATAGGCTAGCTCAAGAAGAATCCGCTGAGCAGGATCCATCCCTGCAGCCTCCGCCGGGGTGATGGAAAAGAATCCCGCATCGAAGACGCCGACATCCTGTGAGAGGAAGAATCCTCCTTGGGTGTTGCTGGTCCCAGCACGATCACCGTGTGGATGGTAAAACCCCGCGGAATTGAAACGGGACTCCGGCACCGGACCGGCGGCAGATCTGCCGTGTTTGACTAGGTCCCAAAGCTTGGCAGGGTTGTCTGCATCCCCCGGAAATCGACCGGAGAGCCCTATGACAGCGATATCCATGGATTCGTTTTCGTCGCCAGCAGACGGCCCTAGAGCAGAGATGGAGGATTGAGGAGCTTGAATTTGAGCCATTGCTTGGAATTGCGTTGGGTAAGGTTTATCATCAAGTATTGTAGAATTGATTCAGTAAAGTGATATCTTTCACAATTACAAAATGGATGCCCTTGCGTTTCCAAGAGGCGTGCGAAACAACACATTTATCATCTCTGGATTTGCTGTCTATCCTGTGTACATAGCTCTGATTAAGAACTTCCTTTTCATTAATGACGGCAACGGATAGCCCATTAACATGATGGCATTCAGGGAGAGCTCTTGGTTTCCTGGCTAGTGGCGAAAGCGGTCAAAACCAGGTTCACGCAGGTGCCTTGGAATGATGATTGATAAGTTGCCGTTAGTTGCCGCTGAAGCCGTGGGGGGTTTAGGGAAATGAGTGGGCGCATGGAACGCGTGTGAGGGTCTAGTTTCACCTGTGAGGCCTCTCGCAAAGGGGCAAAGCACGTCTTCGATTCCAAGTGAACCAATCACGAGACTAGAGTATACTCCGTCAGTTCAGTAGGTGGACGATGAAGCTAACAGAGCGTCCTTGCTCAGATCGGGGGACCGGGATTGCCTCTATCCAGCCCCTTTCAGACTGACATCTCATTCCATTGACCTGAAAGAGGAAGCATACATGCCTGTATCCATTACAGGATCGAAAGACCTGACAAGCCATACACTTGCCAGTGGTACATTTGAGAGGCCCCATGCAGACATAACAACATTTACTTTTAAAGGCATTGTACGCTTCCCAAAGTCATATGACCCCCGCTCTTGGCTTTCAAAACGCATAGCAAGTTACTTCGATTAGTTCAATCTCTATTTGACAATGAGATTCTTATGTCTGCACGGCTACGCTACCGACAGCGCCACTCTTGAGCACCAGCTGGGGCCACTGCTTGCCAACTTACCCAGCGACTGGCAATATGACTTCGTTGAAGCAACTTCTCAGCCCTCTCCCCTTATATTGGGTCGGTTCTTTCGATTCCAAAGGCTCAGGGCACAGCTGACCATCCCCAACAGGTTCTCTAGACGGCATTCCAAGTTCGGCTCGCTGCTGGTACAACCTTCCTACACCCGATGCGCTTCAAAACGCACGAGATGACCTGTTGAGGCACATAGACGCAGAGGGGCCGTATGAAGGCATCATAGGCTTTTCTCAGGGTGGCATGATGGCCGTCTCTCTACTGTTGTGGGACAGCGCTCTTCCCGATGGACCAACTCTACCATTCAAAATGGTCATACTCATCTCTGCCTTCCAGAGCCACAGCTTACATTCGGGGGTGTTGGAGTGGTCCAAGAACGACGGAGATTGGGAGGGGAAGAAGGTCTTGGGTGGAGAGCATCCCGTCACCACTCGTAGCGGCTGGAAGTCTGATCCACGCTCGCGTTTTGACTATCACCTTCTCGCAGGCGCCATGGAGCCGATTCCATCCCCTGTGGAATTTCTCCTCAAGTACCACCCTGACTACGACACATGCCGTCTTGCAATCCCAGTAGTTCATGTTCGAGGCGCGAAGGAGCCGAACCAGATCATGTTTCAGGACGCCATCCAGATGTTTGGCTCTGAAGACAATGAGATTCTGACGCATTCTGGAGGACATCACTTCCCCAAGGAGGCTGGTGAGCTTGCCGAGTTTGCCGAGAAGATTATGAAGGTTGCAATGGGGGTAAACACCCTGTATTAAGTTACTAGTATTACTTTTAACGATCAGGAGGCCTCAAACCCTCTAATAGAAATGATTATCTCCAGTTCCCAAGTCACTGTGACATAAGTCACTGGGATGAACGATTTGGAGCATAGAAATAAGAAAGAAGGTCGTAGAATGGAAAATTCTTAACTTCATCACGTGTAGCGCATTAGCAGTAGTGCCTTGATCTCCAAGGTTCTGGTAGTATACCGCATTGCAGTTACGGTACTAGGAAATCCGTCTCCTCTTTTTCTCTTAAACCAAGTCAGATTAAGAAAACCAAGCAGGAAATCACTACTAGTAAACGTTTAGGCAACATCATGGCACATATTCAGCATTATCTTTGGCATGGAATGGTAAGATTATGACATGTAGACTGAGACTTCAACTTGGAATTCGGGTCAGCAGATAAGAGACCTCCGATCACTGGCTCCTTGCAAGGTACATTTGTAAACTAGAAATACATAGATATTCAACGGCAGATCACCAGGTTAGGAAGAGGAATGAAAGGAGACTCATAATGATATCATGGCTGCTCACCGTGCATAACTCGTGCAGTTTTAGCCGTACATGGGATATGTTTCTGTCTCATTTTCAAGTCCCCTGTTTCGATCCTAACTTCCTTGCTGTCAACCCTTTAGCACCTGGAATTTGCCGTGCAGTAAATAATAAATGGCCTTGCACATCCCAAAGCCAAAATGAAGGAACTCAGCCTTCAACGTCACCCTTTAAAATCACTTACTGCGTTAAAACATTCTACCATCCAATCATTAGGGTTTAATTAAGCACACTATGAGTCTGGAAGTTCGAAAAGCACCTTTTGGGCGTCGTTTGTTGCCCACGGTAATCGATGACCGGGCAAGAACCAATCCGAATGAGGCAATGTTCGTCCTCATTGATGATAGCAACGGTACGATCAGCCTGAAAAGAATTTCGACTTCACAATTCAGCAATGCTATCAACCATGTCACCTGGTGGCTAAAAGAACAACTCCACGATCCCGAGCCAGGGACAGTTTTCGGGTACATCGGGCCCTGTAAGGAGATACTGAATATGCAACAAAGCATTCGTTCAAGCTGACATCAGATGCAGATGATCTTCGATACTTCATTCTTATGGTTGCTTCGGTGAAATTGGGCTGTAAGGTAAATCATTGGGCCGGCTGCTGATTGTTTCATCGGCTCTTCTGCCTCATCACAGACACTCACATTCCTTCCAGGTCTTGCTCTCGTCTCCACGAAATAGTATAGCCGGGCATACGGCCCTTATCAAGCAATCCGACTGTCGTGTGTGGCTCACGGGAGGCGCCAATATCGACGTCACTCAAATCCTGATCGAGAACCCAATGCCTCACTACATTCTCCCCGGCCTGATGAATATCCTACAGCAACCCTCTGCGACTCCATATCCGTACGAAAGACAGTTTGAGGACGCTAGGTGGGATACCTTGGCCCTGATACATACGTCTGGCTCTACAGGTGTGCCAAAGCTCGTCCCGCTGTACCTTGGCACAGCTGCTTGCGTCGATGCCTTTCACATCATGAACCCAGTTGATGGTAAAAGGCCGACGGGTGTAGAGTGGAGCGGCATCAATATGCTCTGCATGATGCCATATTTTCACGCAAGTTCTCCCGCCTTAGCCCACCTTCAAAATTGGCAATTGCAGCTAACTTTGACGAGAAGACGGCGGGCATCTGCCTCGGACTTGACAGTGCTGTCTATTTTAACTGGACCGTCGTCTTGCCGCCGCCGGGAATTTGGTCCGCCGACACACTGGAGAGGATTCTCGACCAAGTGCCAACAGTAGAAGCCGCATTCGTGGCGCCAAGCATACTGCAGGAAATCTCACAATCTCCTCGGCTGCTCACTAAGCTGGAGAAGCTAGAATTTGTTACAACGGCAGGCGGCCCGACACCACAATATGCGGGTAGTATCGTTTCTAAGCATGTGCACCTTCACCAGACCATGGGCAGTACTGAGGGTCAATGGCTCTCGACGATCCCCTGTCGCAGAGAGGACTGGGAGTATATCCATATAGCAGACGAGACTGGCTATGAGATGGTGCACGATTCAGAGGAGCTCTATGAGCTTACTTTTCGGAGGAGGCAGGAGTACGAGCTAACACAGTCATTCTTTGTCACGTTCCCAGAGATCGACATTTGGCACACCAAAGACTTGTACTCGAAGCATCCTACCCTCCCACAACGTTGGAAGTTTGAAGGAAGAAAGGATGATCTCATTGTTTTGTCGAATGGAGAAAAGTTTAATCCGAATCGAACAGAGGAACAGCTCTCAGGCCATCCCTTGGTTCAGGCAGCTTGTGTGGTGGGATCAGGTCGCTTCCAGCCCGCCGTGCTCTTAGAACTAGCGCCGAATGTCCAGGCAACTCCGGAAGAGGTGCTCCGTGAGGTTTGGTCCGAAGTTCAGACCTGTAATGAGAAGCTTCCCTCCTTCGCTAAGATCCATCGTTCGCACGTCAAGGTGGTTAGCGAGCCCTTTTCACGGCTGGCTAAGGGCACGGTTTCGCGCTACGCCACATGGGAGAAGTTCCGCTCAACGATTGAACAACTATATTCGGCACGGCAGGCGATATCATCATCATCAAATATTTCTACTTTCGAAGCCTTGTTGGAGCAGGTTCTCGGTATTGCGCAGGAAATATCTTCGTCCCAGGGCCTCTTTGATACGAATGCAAATCTCTTCGAGGCAGGCTTCGATTCTCTCTCAGCACAAGAACTACGTTATGCTATTCACGATATCATGGGCTTTGATCTAGAGTCTGGAGATGTCTTCCAGCGACCTTCAGTCTTTCAGCTGTGTGAGCTGATTTGGTCACGCCGGCACTCACAAGAACAACCTCTGATCAATCCTCGCGATAGAGTTAGGGGCAAGATACAGGACTTTTTCTTGAAGTCATTCCCCTCGAAGAAGGATCGGCCCATGTCTGTCATAATTACTGGAACAACTGGCTATCTCGGGAGCTACATCCTAGACTTCCTCTATCGCAACCCTGCAGTTGATGAGATATGGTGCCTGAACCGGGATCGTCTTGCTGCATCGAAACAGCCCGAGCTGGCCCGCCATAGGGGATTAGTCGAAAGCTGGGAGGCAAAGACTGTCAAGTTCCTTACCGTCAATCTCCAACAACAAAACTGGGGCTTATCAGAGGAGGAATTCGCAACCCTGGCCGCTCGAGCGAGAGTTCTGATACGTAAGTCAATGTCTTTCATATTCATCAACGGCTGCTTGTGCAAGATGATTCTGATTAAAATAGACAATGCGTGGCAAGTCAACTTTAACTTGCCTCTTGAGTCTTTCGATGACCATCTTGTTGGCGTGAAACACTTGATCCGCTTCGGTGAACAAGCGAAGAACGCACTCCACGTCGTATTCATATCGTCTGTTTCCGTGGCTATGAACTGGAACAGGGTCGCCATCGGGCCAGTAGCGGAATTGCCTATAACCAACTTGGACGCGCCTGGCAACGGTTATGGAGAATCCAAGCTTGTAGCGGAGCACCTCATCTATGAAGCATCTCGGCGAGGAGCCTTCTCCGCATCCGTTTGCAGGACAGGTCAGGCCGGGGGGCCAGTAGACAACGGCACAGTTCAAGGAGAATGGAACAGACACGAGTGGCTGCCTACGGTCAGTACTTTTCTAGTCACATCAAATGTTGGCTTTTCAGAATTTGACACGAGTAACAATAATGCAGTTGATCGAGACGTCGCTTCATATGAGAGCTCTCCCATCTGAATTGGGGCTCTGCGAAATCACAGATTGGATCCCCATCGACAGACTCGCCAGTATGCTCACAGACATCGCTCTCCTCCCCCCCTTATCGGCCAATGCGTGTCGTTTCTATCACCTCGTCAATCCAACCAAGACCAGTTGGGGCGCTATTGCGCCGACGATTCAGGAACGTCTCACGCGTACCTGCTCCGCAGAGATTCGGATTTGCCCTTTGTCGGAATGGGTGCAGCTACTTGAAAAGACAGCCTCGCTCGCGCGGACAGTGGCAGACGGCCCAGTCGTCCACTCAGGTCGGAACCTCAGAGGCTTAAAATTGATCGACTTTTATCGGGGCTTAGTAGCTGAGGCAGAGTCAACACAGCCAATATGGTTGATGGAGGGAGCACTGTCGGCTAGTCCAAACCTGCGCCAGCTGCCAGCGGTCGGAGAGAACTGGATGACTCTTTGGATGAAGCAATGGGGATATTAGTAGTGATTATTTTGGACTAGGTGGATTCTATGTTCGTATGATCAGCCCCGGTGGGAGGCTCGTGTTTACAAACGGCTACCTATCTAATAGTTGGAGCTGCGGTTACTACTTATTTGAGGGGGTTTTCGCACTATGAGGTGCGACCAGATAAGTTTCAAATACGTTGCCTCTTGGTGGGCGGCTATGTATCTCTGCCCAGCGATGAAAAGGTTTGGCTGGTTTACGATTGAGGTTTGCTGAGAGAAATTTCACCGTGGAGGAAGAACCCAATACCAAGACCCTTATATATGGTATAGGGTTGCCAGGAAGGAAGAATAGTAATTTAACAAGGCAATGTCATTGATGCTATCGTTGTCCCTCACCACTAAGCTCGTAATTTCAGGGCTGTTGCAAGTCCAATCAAAACTATTTGCAACCTGAGTCAATCGAGCGAACTTGTGGCAATAGTTAGTGGGGTTTTACCCCTCCGAGATTCTTATTCCCTTCGCATTAAAGTCCCTTGATCTAAAACATCCAGTATCGAACGTCAAAAAGATCCGCGCTGGATTCGTTAAGCCCCCCAGCTCTGAGGTTCTTGAGCGCCAACTGTACAAAAAGTTACTCCGTTAATCCTCTTGTGGTGAAAAGAAAAATGTGGTGATTGAAAGCTTACCGCTGCATGAGATTTGACTTGCATGTCATCAGCCTTATCCTCTGCTTCTCTTCCTTCGTGGCTTGTTGAAAGCAGGTTGTTCAGACCCATGATCCACCCTTGCTTCTTCACCCTTCGTTCCTCGGCCGGAAAAGTCGAGAGAAGGTAGGAAGCCGATCCTCTAAGCATTGTCAGGAGACTGACACAGTCGACCTTGTTCCACTCACGCTTCGTTGGGTCTAGTTGGACATCTAGGAATTCCAGCAACCGCCTGACTAAAGCTTCCTTGTATGGATGCACCACCGTCTCCAGCACATGGCAGCGCGTCGAGAAACACATAACAATGATGGTCTTCCACCTGCTCTTCCTCAAGTTTGCCATCTTGTCTATCACATCGTCTGCGCGCTCTTCCACTTCTTCTGCCGAGAATTGCACCAGAAATGGATCCTTCGCATTGGGCCTATCGCTAGGTTTCGTACCCACTTTGGGTCTCGTCCCATCTTCGTAGAGGGACACGTAATCCCCAAAGAACCTTTCAAGATCCAGTCGTGCTCCTTCTGGTCCTTCGCCGAGTGCGCCAACAGCATCAGCTGGCGTATTTCTTATGACCTCGTAAAGAACTTTTATGCCCCAATCCATGGACTGGGGACAAAGGAGACAGAACTCGATGAGGGCATGATGGAGACGAGCAGAGCGATCGTCAAACTCGTCAAACTCGTCAGCATACGTTCCAGGCTGAGATGTGAGATAGGTAAGAAGAGTATCGGCAGCGGTTTTGATGGTAGGTGAAGATGAAGGGTTGATGATATCGGCTTCATTCTGAGGTCTGATGGAAAGCCATATGTCTAGGACTTTGAGGCCATCTTGACCCAAATCCCAACCTGACATGATGTGTGTGTCGTTGTAGTGTATTGAATTATCAGAGGTTGCAAATATTGTGATTAGCAGAATAATAAAAACGTAAAGCAGGTATGTTTGAATGATAATGTTGGCGGATATATAGCCACGGCAGATACCCAGAAGAAAAGAACACATCTCTGCTTATTGTGCAACGGTCCACCCTAGAAGGAGGTACTGTCCGTGCGATGAATCTGCTTATTTGCACTGTGCTGGAAGTCTTCCGTATTCTGGTTCACGTTAGCCACCAAGTTCCCATGTACTGCTACAGTATTAGCTATAGTATATGTAGCTTTTAGTAATAAACTTGTGCCCAGGCTTCCTAGTTTCTTGTAGCCATTAAAGTAACAAGAACAGGCTACATCCTGGCCCTACTGTTCATGTGGCACAGTAGGACATGCTCAGTTTACCCGTCTACCCCCAAGAATTCCCTCTCTATTCGTCATCATTACTATCTTTAGAGCATTATTTGCTATTTCACTTATTTCTTCATCTTGAATGATAACACCAAATAAATAGTGTGACGTTGGAGCGTAAGAATGTTTCATCTTTTGAAAAACTTCATAGACCAACTAAGATAAAATGTAATCTCTAGGACCTTTTGATGTATACCCCCATAATACAGTATTGTTAACAAAAGCAATATCTTACGTGATTCATAAGAGGGTGATATTTGTTACCGGCCGTAGGGATCTTAACAGCGCATTATGTGTCAAACATAGCGCAGAAGTTCCAAACACGCCTCGACGAGATGCAAAAGGTCTTGCGGGCTTACTAGAATCGAGAGTAAAAGAGGCAATACGGCGAAAAGATGGCATCTCATTTCTGACTACTATGAGAGCTTTCTACGCCACGAGATGATGATGTGAGCATCAGCGGCGGTTGGCCGATATCACCAGTATAAGTAAACAAGAAATCTTTCTCAAGGGCAAGTTCTCATCGGACTAAAACATTCTCGTCACATACTCATTACAACGCATTGAACATTTTGAATCTGATTTAAGTAGACTTGATTCTGTATATTTTGATCATGGTTAATTTCAGCAACACCTTCTTGGCTGCAGGAGTCCTCGCCACTCTCGCAGTTGCAGCAAGGTCGTCACCGGCAACCGTACTCCCGAGAGATATCAAATCGGCCAGAGACGTCACATGCCCTATTAGTGAGTCCCCCTTTATAGGTATCTTGCAACCTTCCTCAACCACTGATAGCAGTTTTACATAGCCGAAGTTTCCAAGTTTGGAAAGACGTTCAAGAAAGACCTCATTGAGGCCGATATCAAGGCAAACCCAGATCCCAACAACCAGAACAACGGGTTCCCAAAGGGATACAGATACACTGGCACCGGCTACTGGCCTTTCAAGAAGATCACAGCTTGCGATGATACGAAAGAAAAAGGCGAGAAGGTTTACGAGATTCCAATTGGTCCATCGGGTCAGTCATGGAACACATTTGGCGCAAAGCCTGGAACATACAGAGTGAGGATACGTCATGCAATTCTCTGGTAACCTTGACAGATATTAATACGAAATCCAGGTCCTCTTTGCTATTGATGGGAAGAACCAGATCTTCTGTGGCGTGACTGCTCATGCTAGCAAGACAGATTTCAGCAAGGTCGTTGGGTGTGAGGAGTAGAGCACCAGGTAGTACAGTATTCTTCGCTCTAGATAAGGAAGACTTACGTGCCACCGACTGGATAGATGGTAAGAGCGGCGGGGCTTGGGGAAATCACAGAGGGAAGATGGTTTAAAGAGAGTTAGACAATAGCTACGCCAACTGATGTACAATCTTCATCTAAGCTAGTATCAGAGATACATAACATTGAACTACACATCACAGACGATAATTGCCCATCAAATCACATGAAGAATTCCAATGAACCATAATGATTCACTATAGGGACAATAAATTCATCCATAATGATGAACTGACCTCTCCCTCACTAAATCAAAGCAGCTTCCGTCTTCCGAGCTGAGATGTCTTAGACCTAACAAAGTCTCTTACCCTCATAATTTCCGCCCCCAAAAAATACCTCCTAAACGAGGCAGACAACTCCAACAGTACAGAGAGATGATTGCATGATGATTCTGTCACGGAAGCTTGTCCCACGGGATTCGGCCTCAAAGGAAACACAAATTCCCAAGCACATGGTACCCTTAAGAACACCGGCATAGCACACAAAGAGAGCAAGATCATTGGTCAGTGACGCCAAGGTCCGCTATACAATGATCTGAAAGCCTGCGTAAGCAACACCAAAAAAGAAAAGAAAATGGCGGCGATGGGGTCATCAAATTAGTCAACACTGGGAGACACTTCAGAGCGGCCAACCTTGCTTTTCATAACCCAGAAGAGGATTCCATATGTTGAACCGAGGGTGATCAAGTTTATACATTTAGACCCTGCCACAGTTCCAAGTTTTCAAGACTTCACTTTTATGATAAATAAGCCCATCATACATCAAGAGAATTCCAGTTTAAGCACACTCTCATGCACCTGTGGTTTTCGCACGATCTCTTTTAGAAATAGACTACCGACAACCCACACCGAGATACTTGTACGGGATATATAATATTTGTCTGTCAAGCATTTGTGATTTTGTACTCACGTCTACTTTGTAGATCTGTATTGCCAACTCAAAACGGCCACAGACCACTGAGGTAGAACAAACGCGAACCCCTTCTGTCCGGCTTCGAGTCGGGTTCTTCTCGTATCAACAAGATCGGGCTCCCCAAATATGTTCTCAGAGAAAGGATCTGGCGCAGTCAGAACCGTAAGCTCTGCAACTGCTCCTTGCTGTGATCCGGGAAAGTTGATCTCGAATTCCTGTTCCGTCGTCGTATTGTACACGGCACCTTTCCAAACGTAGGTATTCAGATCATCATTCAGGCCAGCAACCCAGAATCCGGGATCATATTCATCTGAATTTTCGACGGGTAAAAGGGTAGTGAATCTGTTGTTCGACAGGAGCTCCATGACGTGAAAACTTGTTGATCTGACAGTCGCGGATGTGTTCGCATTGAACGTGATGAGGTTTGGCTAGTTCAGTTAGTTATTCACAATAGAAATCAATGCATTCGACTGACGAGAGATGGGGAACGCCTACATTCCACTGATAGGATTCAATGTTTTGCAACAAGGGCGCAAAAGCACACCCATAAACTGTGTCAGGATTTCGTTCAACGCCCAGATAGAAAACAGCTTCTGCTACACTGGCAATCCACCATGGTCGCTTTCTATGATCTTTCCATAGAACTTCGTTGCCGTTGTTTCTTGCAACGCCATATTCTCCAACGAGGATCTTGTTGCTCGCATCCTGGTCGTCGAATAGTGTGAAATTTCTCACAGCTCCATCTGGGTTCTATGGTTCATTAGAAAGGTCGACGTCAAGGAATTCAAGAAATACGACCTACACCGTAGTCGTGGTAATCTAAAACTGCCCCTTTCGGAATGGGATCCAGTTCGATCGTGGAAGAAAGAATTTGCAGATGCGGGTATTTTTCACTGATCGCGTCGAAAAACATTCGAAATCGATATTCGTTGTAAGATGTCATTCCACTTGAGAAATGATCCTCATTTCCGACCTAGAGTAGACCTCGGTCAGTGAAAGATCAATTATAGCCGGCTCGCCCCTTACTCACGCCCACGAAGTTGATTTCAAAGGGTGTTGCGTAGCCCAAGGCAACCCTTTTCGCCCCATACTCTGTCGAAGCATCTCCGGTTAAAAACTCAATCTCGTGAAGGGCATCTTGAACGTAAAAGTCGAGTTCATTCTCCGGGATGACCGTGCCATCTAGATAGAGCCCGGCCCAAAGTATCAACACAGGTTCTACTTTTAGGTCCTGACACCACTATCCACTCTTGAGTCAGTAAATGGAGCCATAGACCTGTAATCGTAGAGTTACTCACCAACATGTATTCAATTAAGCCAAGCCCATCTGTGTTATGGTACCTCCAAGCACCAGTTCTCCCGGGCCGGTCAATGAGATCCCCGATTGTCTCATTCCACTTCCACCTACTTCCAGGCAGTTTCCCCTGGAGATTGTTACCTCCTGGGATCCGCATAAAGCTAGGATTGAGATCTTTGAGCGATTGCATCAAGTCTTGACGCAGCCCATTCTCTCTGTTATTATAAGTGGGTGGGAACAGACTTATGAGGTTGAAGTTCAAAACTTGATGACTACTCTCGGCCACGAAAGTCAATGTGAAGTTGGTTTTGTACCCAGCCGCAATGTCTGAGTCAAGTGCAAATTCATGCTTGGTCCACCCACGCGTGTTGGAATGAGATGGAATATTCACTGATGCCAAGATCTCACCTGAGCTTGCGCTGCGCAAGGCCGCTTTGAAGTCGCCTTGGTAATCGCCAAATACCCAGAAGGAACCCTTGTATGTCTGAGGCAAAACGTCTATCCCCCAGTATCCGGGGTTGGAAATACCAATTTCTCCTCTAGCCCTACCCTTCACAGTGACAGATGTTGGCAAAGCTGAGGAAAGGGGGGTTGTCAAATTGAAAAGCGAAATGTCGGCAGGACCAAACGCTGACCAAGGATCTAGTGTCGATGGCATGAACTCGTCGCCTTGGAATGCTCGGTTTCGTATGAGCTCCGCGTATCTGGGACATATTAGTCGCTGCTAAAGGTTGTTTAATACCACATAGAAAACATACATCCCCCCGTCCCCGGAGAAATTTATGTCTTCGAACATTAGCCCGTATTGCAGTGGCGATGCGTCTTTTCCCTCATCTTTTGATACACTTATAGTAACGGCAGCCACATTAGTAGCCAGAGATAGCAAGGAAGACAGCCTCATCGTTGATAGAATATTTGGGTGTTTTGGAAAGTTGAGGCCATAGAAATTCGCTCACATTGGGGCCTTAACTCCTCATTGTCACTCGAGGGGTCATATATCTTCGTTAAAGTGAGCATCTTTACTATTTTGGATTATACCCGAACTAAGGTTATTATTTCCCGCACTGTTGCATCCAAAACGCGCTCATCATCCCCCGCTATGGATATCCCATTCTGGGGTACTTTAAGCGCGCCAATGCTTAAGGACAGAAGCTATTCTCGCCACTTTACTCTACCGAAGTCTAGGAATCTCCGCTTTGCATTGTAACATTGGATTGCATCCTGAATAGATATATGGGCGCCCGATGCCGAAGAGGTAAGCCCATTTTGCCTAATCACCTCATAACCGCCTAATCATCTCGGACGGATCAGTTTTCCATCCGTCTGTGAGGGTCAACCATATTGCTCTACGTCATCGGTCAAGCCTACCGATTTAGAACCAGTAATTGAAGGGAAATTATCAAGAAAACACATTCGCAGAATCTCCGGACTAAGTTAGTATCTCATTAATTTGACCTATTTTTCATTAAAAAGCTTTACACCTTACCCAGTTCAGGAGGAAGCCATTTTTTGCACTCGCATCCAATTTCGCACATTTTGTTGCAAAACTTAGGAGGATGACGAAAGCATTAAGTAGGGCATATTATACCGCAAAATTTCAAGACGACGTTTGGCTGTAAAAGGGCGGGTAAGTTAGGGTTCCAAGTGTACATAGGACTACCTTGCATTTCTGTTTTGTACGAATGTCTGAAGCGGCAAGGCTGATCGGCATATCTGTAGGCGGTTCTGCTAGTTTTACTTCCTGAGGAATCATCGAGTCAATAGAACGGCCAGAGCAGTCTTCATTTTTGAGTAGGCGGCCGGCTGACCGCGAACTTAACTTACATGTGACAGTATATCATATGGAAAAGAGGGTTTCCGAGAGACAATACCTTGTGTGGGTTTTTGTGTAATTGGACAGAACTGGCTCCTTATTATATAATACGATAGTGAGGTTTTAATGATAGTTATAATATCGTCGCCCTACTCTTAATTTTCCGATGAATTGTAGTGGACTCCATGAAAAGATATAATGACTACCTAACCCGTAATCGACATCGCCTGCGCAATAAGCGCCATCAATCTCTCTGTTCCCTTGCTATCCACAAACTCCAAGACCTTTCTCACTTTCCTCCCCTTATCATCCAAGTGTAGAATGAAGATATACTCGCCCTCAAAACTCCAATCAATTTTGCTTCCTCCAGCCTTGACCTCGTCCCAGAACGTTGGTGCACTGCACGCCCGAATGACTACCTGCCTCAGGCTTGGATTGACCCAGGTGTCGCGGGCATTCATATTGAAACTATTAATAACTTTACGAATGCTTGAGAGAAACTGGGCGAATTCGTCAAGAGAAAAGGGGCCTGGAAGATTGGCAGACTGCGGTGCAAATTCGTGCGTATAGTCCTGTGTTTGGACATGTGTGATAGAACTCGGGTCGAGAGTTTTGAAAACAGCCAGGTACTCAGCCGCCGTGGCGAAGAGCGTCTCTGAAGTCGGTGGACAGACGAGAGTTTCAGGCTGGGAGTTTTCTTTCAGATGGGAACCCTGGACCTCCATGATAGCTTGTAATGGTCTCCGAAAGATATATATAAGTTATTGGATAGTATGAATGGCTGGCTGCTTTGGTTACTTCAAAGAAGTGATAAAGAACAAGGAGATCGATGCGTTGAATAGCAGGATTTTAAGGCACGATAAATGTGGGTATCTCGTCGCTTTTATTATGTGCCTTCGAGCTCCTATTCTTATCCGTCTGCCTGATCCGATTAATTCCTGGTCTATGCTGCCTGATCCGATTAATTCCTAATCTATGCACATTGGGTCCTTTGCATTCATTCAGAAGCCGGGAGTACGGGTGGAATCGCGGAGATAGACATAGACGGAATCGCGGAGATGTCTCCCAACAATTACTTCATCCGACAGGCTAGATCCGTGATTATTTTAACTCCGATGTTGAGTAAATTATTTGGTAAGAAGCTACTTCGCACAGCCAGCTAATACTGTGGACCTTTGACGTGAAAGCTCTCGCACGAGATCACTCCAAGCATCACAAGCCTAGACAAAGAACAGAGTCTTCTAGTGAGGTGATACAAAGTTGTTAAGAAGAATTTGTAGTCTCTGCTTTCGTGTAAAATCAAATGATGCTACTATTGCTCTGATATTACATGCTAGATGGTGTCTACCTTCCTGATCCTCTTTAATTAGCGAAGCTTGTTTCCGGAGGCATGCACAAGCCATTGGCGTAAGAGAAAGAGAATAAAGTTCAACAGCAATAGAAGCTGCCAGAGCCCGACAACTCAACACGATGAATAACAAGCCGTTGGAATTGTGACATTTATGACCTAACCATCATGAGAACCATTGCTCAGTGACCATTCTAAGCCTGAATCGTCATTTTCTCCATGGCAGGCCTGCCCTTTGAGCTACCAGGGATGGGCCGTTTACAATCAACAACTTCGACAGCGTATTTCTTAGCCGGTAAACCCTGCCGCCACAACTCTGACATGCAGCTCTCCATCCCTTGCACAGGCGGTTCGGTTCTGCAGAAGTAGCTTACCATCATCATGGAGCTCTGCATTGCTGCGACGGATTTTGCCTTATGTCCGGCCCGAAATGTGAATGACGTTATATTTTGTAGCCCGACATGATTCAATCTTTCGTATCAGAAAGCGACGCTTGAGTTCCTTTTACATATGTTAATATAGTGCAGTATAGTTTACATAAACTTAAATGTGACAGTAATTACCTCCGTCCTTCTCGTTGGCGGCCACGGCAAAGTCGCTCCGCTTCTTACCCCACTACTGCTTAAACGTTCATGGACTGTGTCAAGCCTCATCCGTACTCATGATCAAGTTGCTGCCATTCAAAGTCTCGAAATTGACCAGGCCTGGAAGCTCAATATTCTTCTCCGCGATATTGTGGAAATCCTACTCCTTAAGCTGGTAGCTGAACTCCTTCACGAGGTGAAACTAGATTATATCGTGTAGAGCGCAGTTGAGTTTCTGTTTCATATTCCAAGACAACTAAAAAGTAGCTTTCTCGAAGCCAGTGTTTTTCGAATACTCACAGTGCTTTGCTTCAGGTGCTGGTAGCAAGGGGAATGCAGAAAGAACCTTTAAGATCGATGGCGCCGTAGTTACCTATCTTATCTGTGCCGTAGTTAGGAATTGAGCGAGATATAAGGGCTTGACCTAATTGCTGCGTGATGAAAAGATACTTCGGAAGTTAGATTTCATCTTCACAAGGGTGCCCCCATACTATCTGTAGTAGCGGTGTTTCGTTCACCTGCTTGGAAGTGGTCTCCTCCAGCCACCATCTGAGCGGTATTGCTATTAAATGCCGAAATCGAAAATTGCAAATATCTAAAATGGCAAAATAAGGCTAATTTGAATCATCTGCAAGATTGTTAGCTCTTTGAGGTGGCCGAATTTTCGTCGCATTGAAATCAAGACTACCTAGACCAAGATACTTGGAGTGCCGACAGCTTCAAAGCCAGGCTGCCCGGACTTTCACTCGTTTGGCGCTCGGAAGTCAGTGTATTGTATGTTCTAGCACTGAAATCCGGGAATCCGGGCTTTCGGAGTTTTGTAGAGATAGTAAAGCGAGGGTCGTCTGTGGGCCTGAGAAGATTTGACACCGTATCTATGGCGTGTTGACTGCATGACCATGACGTGACTAGCTTGATTTTGTAATAGCCGATATTTTCCCTAAAAGTGATCGTAGATCATCTCCCTTTGCTGGCCCTCGTTCCTGGTAGTTGGCCTGCATCCCGCGGAAGCCGATATGTATGTAACAACTTAACAATGCTACTAATCCATAATAGCATTTGACCTTTCGGGACAATTTTCGGGGTTGCCACATTGGCAAATATGTCATTGGCTCTGCAGATCTTGATCTCGGCGCGGACTTTCGAATCTCATCAATTGTCCGAGGAGGGAGTGCGGGAGAGCGGCTATCGAAAAGTTTTAAGCATAATTTAGAATTATCTATATATAACAACAGAATGTCATTGACTCACTCACTCCTTCACACTCTTTCAATCGACCATAATCATCACCCCTTCGTTCATCCTTTAGTTGAAATCCCTTGGTTGAAATCGCTTAGTTGAACCTCAATCTTCTGCCAAGTTCTATCGTGCAGGCATAACGAATCCATCCTGTCGCCAGAATGCCAGAACCTGCGAGCTCTTCGGGGTTGTTAGTTCTCCTCGGGCGGAGGATGTACGGTATTGCCGAGAAATTGGTGAATGAGACGCAACTCACGTCTGTTGGACTGCTTTGTGCGCTTGTAATGCTACTCACCACCTCGGGATTTCTCTATTCCCTTGTCGAACCACGCCGCCTTACGAAACACATTATCCTAGAAAGAGAAATCCCCAGTGCTCGGGAACGCCGCGAGCACTTCTTTTCGCAGCCAAGAGATCTGATCATCAAGGGCTATCAAAATTTCAGAGAGGAAATATGGGGAATCGAGTCCTCGGCAGGTGTCCGATTGCAGCTCCCGGTCGGATTTCTAGACGAGCTGAAAAGCCATTCCGCATTGAGTTTTGAAAAGTTCATCAGCAGTGAGGGTATGCTTGATTATACGGGCGTGGGTGGTTTATCGGATGATGCCCTCCACAAATTCAAATCGAAGTTCAATCCTACCGTGGGCTCTTACGCCCCCGTGCTGCATAATATCGTCAAGGTGCAAATGGACAAGATATTTCAAAAGCACGAAGACTGGACAGAAGTCAATATCAATGATGGCATCATGGAGATGGTGAGCATTCTGTCGGCCAGGGTATTCACAGGAACTGAAGCGAGCCAAAACGTTGAATGGCTAGAGTTGGGTCCAAGCTACGTTGCGAATGTTCTGGTCTATATCGAAGCTCTCAAGCGATGGCCCAAGGTCCTCCGACCTCTTGCGAGGTTTTTCTTACCTCAGCGTCAGCTTATTCTACGGCAATGGGAGCAGGCAAAACAGTTTCTGTCTTCTGCTATTTCTAAACACAAAATGCAGCAACAGCACATGAACGACCCTCCTTCACTGATGGACTACTTCATCAACGACGAAAGGATTAGCCTTGAAGATATGTTCCGCCTCCAGATGGCAATCGTGGTCGCTGGAATACATACGACATCCGCATCACTTACTCAGTTGCTCTATGACCTGGCAGCCTATCCAGAGGGTATCCCGGAACTGCGTGAACAAATTAAACAAGTATACGAGGAAAATGGTAGAGTATTCAATAAGAAGGCGCTCAGCGAACTGAAGAAGCTCGATAGCTGGATGAAGGAGAGCCAACGATTTCGTGCTCCAGATTTAAGTAGGTTACCAACCATCTTCCCTTTCCCGTCTATCACACTAACACACAGATTTTAGCCACTTTCCAACGCCTGGCTGTCGATTCACTGACTCTTTCGAACGGACTATACATACCTAGAGGGACAAAGATGGAGCTTCCCACGACCGCAATACAAGTGGATGATAGATTGTACGAGGAGCCGCAACTTTTTGATGGGCTTCGCTTCTACGAATGCAGGCAGAAAGAGGGCAACGAAAATAAACACCTTTTCATCAGTACTGGGAAGCTTGATCTAGCTTGGGGATATGGGCGTCATGCTTGTCCAGGACGGTTCATTGCAGACGTTGAGATCAAACTCGTTATAGCAGAGTTTCTATTGCGGTTTGATATCCGCAACCCTGTTGGTCAGCCTAGGCACGCGGACTTGGAATTTGAATCTAATGTAAGTTTCAACTTATCATTAGCATACGTAATTATTACTAACACCGTGCGCAAGCTTCTACCGGACCCGACAAAGACCGTCATGTTAAAAATGGTGAAGAAATATTAGGTCCAACTGCAGTGGGATGATATGAAATAGGGACAAGAAACAACCTTCAGGACTTCAAGTCCTTTGTGGCGGAGGTAACGATGGCAAGAAAAGATTTTGTTAAATACATAGGGAGGAGATTGAAACTCTTGGAACGAAGAATAGAAGCAGATGTCTCGACCTTAAGCTCCCGCTGTTATCTATATAGTCTAAAATTGTATTGAAAACCTAGTAGGCAGTCACTCTGGATATAAGGCTTGAGATTTAACCTTGAATATAGCTTCTCACCCTATTATATTAGAATAAGACTAATGCACAGCCAGACCAGGTTCAAGGCTCATCACAGAACAACGTTATAGGTGATGCTCTGCACTGCTACAATATTTCTACTGCGCTTAAAGGTACAAACTATAAATGAATTTTAGTCGGATTAGTATTAGGATTCATTCATAGAAGACTAAATGAAGCGAAAAACAACAAGACAGTGTGAGTTATAGGTGCCAGCACCCAGATGATAACCAAGAAATCTACCTTCTCCTTGGCCTCCTCTCCTGCTTATACTGGGTCTCATAACGGGCAAGATCTTCAGCATCATAGTCCCGAGCAGGCCAAGTAGTCTTCCGGCTACTGCTCCGGCGATCATCCTCGTACCTCAGTTCGACCCGATGGCCCTCGCGGCTCATTGGCTCCAGAGGCGCTCTGAGAAAGCCACTCGTGTCGCCCTCGGGATGATACATGACTCCAAGACCGCTCGGTCCCCCACCTTCCTCTTCACGCAGTCCAACAACTCGATACGGGCCAGGGCTATTTGGCGGGTTGCCAGTAATTCGAGCCCTGTCGTTGCGATGCGCTGTCCGGGCGGCCTCTAATTTCCTGCTTGAGACGGACTTCTTGCTGATGTCGAAGTCATCGTCGTAAGTAGCGGGTGCTTCGTACATATTACGGCCTCTCGACTCCCAGTGTTCAAATATTTTCTCCCCATTGTTGTACCTATGCGGATACATGTCTCGTCTGTCCTGAACAGGCCGAGATGCCGCATTCCTGGACATGTCGTGCACACTTCGGTAAGGGAGATCAGCTCCTCGATCGGTGTGGTATTGCTAAAACATATGACGTTAATCCAATTGAGGAATGCACTTCTTTTGTCCGTGGCAGAACTTACCAGGTTGCGACCATCGTCATCGGTGTTGCGACGTGGTTCGCGAGGCTCGCGGTCCACTTTGCGGCTGAACAGGCCCATGATGACAGGATAGTTCAGAACAGAATACAAAGTAGTGAGTAAAGTGCGGATGGATTGTGCCAAATGACTGTGGCAATGAATATGAGTTTGGATTGATGAAGTATTTAAATCAGCCATATTCACATCGGGGGATTGGCAGCTTTTATGTTTGATGAGGCGACCAGGATAGAAGTCCGAGCCTAGCTGCAACCTCTCTCCCACTCTGAAGCAACCAACAAACCAGACCAGACCCCAAGGTTTGTTCGACATTTGGCCAGTCTCACAGACTCTGTAGCCGCTTGCCTGGCCGTCATGGTCACTCCGAAACAGTCCAGAAATAGGCAGTTCACACACACAGCCACCTACATGCGGCGACGCGCCATGCGGGCTTGAGACGAACCACCGTTGTAGTGCGGACAACCAATGATTTAATCCCCGTGAAACCAGAACTGTCCGGGTAGTTAATAGTTCATCAAAAATGGTTGGCAGCCATGTACTCTATGATGGGATTCCATGGTTACAGGCGCATATGCAGCCTTGTGATGTAGCCGCTTTGCAGGGAACTTACTAGGTGGGAGGTTCTAAGTAGTAAAAGCGTTTTTTTTAGCAGTTGTAACTTGTTTGCCGCCCACTACCCGCTGCCTGATTTTGTTTAGTGGGGTGGATGATGATTCCAGCCAATACTCATCTTCACACAACCGCTCTCACTCCACTTCATTCATGCATGACAATCATCAATGATGAGCCCCTCAATCCTCAGCCACATTAGTAAGAGGATATCCCCTGCACAAGGCTTTCTTCAGGTTCATACGCGTCGCTCGAAGAGTTTGGTGATCCTCTAGCCTACAGTTGTACATATCTACCTGTTCTCTGATCTGCTCCTCTACTTATCAATTGTTTTCTCCATTCATAACATTTTCTACATACTTTTTTGCTCGCTGACCATATCCTTCACTCTCTCATTTGCGCACTTGATTCTGGTCTTAACACTACTACTACCCCTCCTCAGGGTCATCATCATGACGAGCGCCCCGACCCAGGAAAAGCCCAAGTGGCAGCTGTATCTGGAGAAAGAGGAGCTAGAGCTAGAATGGCCAGAGGTCATCACTGATGACCTCTTCCCTATCGCCACTTCGCTCCTCCTCGACGATGGCGATCCCGTCGCTGCTTCTCAAAAAGCCGCACGCGAATTCATGGATATTCTTGTCAACAAATGGGTACCAAAGGATACCCAGCGTCGCACATACGATGAGCCAGATGACACTCCTCCGCTTTACACGGAGGAGCAGTCTCTCAACTCAAATTTCCAGTGCTTGGGGGATTTCATCTACGGCCTCGTCCCCGAGCTACCATATCCAAGCATTGAGCACGATAAGATCCTCTACTTTCTTCTACACATCAAAGAACTTGGAAACCAAGCAAATTTTGATTCACAGGTATATGATTTCTCTCTAGTATATTGATTTTAGCCCATACCATCGTTGCTATTCTCTATTTAGTATTGGCACTCGTTATCATCCATTGCTTGTCTAACTTGACTCCAGAAAAATTCCGATCTCAAGTCCTTCCATTACGGTTTAGAGTGCGATGCATCCGAATGGGCCGGTGCGGTCGACGGTGAGTAACTTCATATCACCCCTTCGAATCTGGATAACGACATCTCATTATGTAACTTGCAACGCTAGTCCCACCCACATTGGAAGAATCAGAGAAGCATCTCTGTGACCGACCACGATCCCTGTACGCCATGCTTGCCAAATTGCTTGCTGCAGGAGTGATGCGCGTGAGGATCTTGAAGTTGATTTCATATGACTTACACATGCTTCTCGGGATAGACAAGAGGAAGCCACCTCCTTCAGAGTTTGAGCGACAACACCATAGCAGCGTTTGGGCCGAGTATATCCTCATAGCGGGGCAGGAACTGGCCAAGGAGGTTAAGAACCCCTGCGGAGAATTGAAGTTTCCCTTGACCGCAGTGGAGTGGAAGGCTGGTGCCGAACACCTTGCAAAGGTCGCCGAGAAGACTCCAGAGGATGCGCCGTGGGACCTGAAGCGGCGTGCCCAAAATGCATACCAGCAAATGAGGGAGCTTGTCCCCGAGGCATTTGTTGAGGAAGTGGATAAATGCGAAACGTCGACTTAGGTATTTCCTTTCTTCTAGTAGTTATGTATATATATTTTAGTTTTTAACTGTCTATCTATAAAGAACTAATTCACTCGATTATGGCTCGTAATTCGCTCATCTGGAACATGTGACCCGTGACGTATGAGAGTTCAAGTAGAAAGTAAAAAAAAAGCAATTGAATATGCCAGACCCGACATCTCAACACAATGAATACGGAGCGACCCGTAACGAATCATGAGAAGCATCCCTAATATCAAGCCAGTCTCTAGGTAAATATGACCTCACTCAATCTAATTATTTCAGTATTCGAATTGCTGACCAACAAGCTTCTCACTCAGTTTCCACAATCGCTCTGCATCGACCTTGCTGGTTGCCCACGGATAAACTTCTTCCTTGTCTTGATTTGCAATTCGACAATCGCTCAGAAAAGCCCCATTATCTTTCGCAATCTCGGTATCGAAGGCAGCAAAAACATGCGTTGCTACGCCGTTGTCCGAGTCCTTAACATGCAGCTCTGCCATTCCCCACAGCCATTTATTCCCATATATATTGTCCATCGCCGTGAGGTCTGCAGAAAATGAATCTCGATCGTTAATCCCATGTGCAGAGAGGTTCGTCATGCTCACACCAGGACACATCGGGAAGGACAAGAGGCCCCTTGGGCCAAGCTTCATCGCAAGAGAAAGCCCCATTAAGGCATTCGCAGTCTTTGATTGGCCATAAGCGAGCCACCTCTGGTAATGTTTGCCCTCGTTGAAGTTATGGTCAGACCAGCGGATATTACCAATGCGGTGCACACCGCTGGAGACAAGAACAACACGCGGCGTCTCAGAGGCCAGGATCTTTGCCATGATCAGATTTGTAAAGAGGAAGTGGCTCAGGTGATTTGTCTGAAATTGACTTTCGAATCCGTCCTCGGTTGAATGGTACGGAACAGCCATTATGCCGGCATTGTTGACCAGGATGTCAATTTGGGGTATGTCGGCCCAGGAATTCACAATTTCCGCAGCTTTGCGCACGCTTGAAAACGAGGCTAAGTCCAGGGGTAGAAGCTTGATCTTGATTTCCGGGTGTTTGCTTCGCACAGTATCAACGAGTGGCTGCATTTTCAAGGTTGACCGTCCAGCGAGGATGAAAACCGCTGGTCCTCCAGCTGCAACGTGCTCAGTGAAACCTGCTCCCAGCCCTCCAGGAGACGCCCCCGTGACGAGTATCGTCTTTCCTGATATCTGAGGGCCGTAGTGACGTACAAGATCACTTGCCCTGCAATCTTCATCGAATTTAAGCGCCATGACTGGTAGAAAGAGTCTAACAAACAAGAGGATGGATTGTAGATTTTAGAATCTTGAATGGTAGAGACAGGTCAGGATATTATCTCGGGGGATAACGAGGCTTAAGTATCTGGAATCATATGTATTGGCGGGGGGGGGGGGTTCAATGTCCGCCCCCACAAAAGCCAGTCGGACTTCGAGTATAGTCCATCCGATATCTCCATATTTGCAGGTGAATAACCTTACCATTTCAGGCCATTTGTGCGATCCTATGAACTCATGGGTGGGTAAGGAAAATGATGTAGCTGCGCTTGTATTAAACCATTAATCTTCCCAGCCATGCAAACGCGTTAGCACTGAACGGTCTAGTCCGCGCCGGATGGATGAACTGACAAGGATCTTGGAGGAATAGCAAGTCGAATGAGCCTTTTATTTACAACTGGCTACAATAAGCTAGGTAACTGCTGTGACGTTGATGCGTATGGTATTCAATCAACATGTTGTCACGGGCGACATGGGGCGCAAGGTATTGAATGCATTTGCAGCCCAAACCGCCAATCCTAGTCCAGTGGCTTCACCGATACTACGCAGTTTCTCTTGAACCCATGACCTTTCGACCGGCCCAGCTGATGTAGAGAACAGTAGCACTACCATTGGCCAAAACATGCCGTAGGCTCTACAAGCCATGCCTCCTCCATCGAGCTCACCGCTGCTCTTGATGTCACATCCAAGGACGCCCGCAATATCTTCACAGATCAGCTCCAGAACAAAATGTCTCTCTAGAAAATCAAATTGAAAGGGAAGATAATGGCTGATGCTATTTCTTTTCTCGGTCATGAGCGAGATAAGTTCACCAACCACTTCAACAACGCGATATCTAACTGTGCGATATGAACTTCTTGAAATCGCCTCGGTGTATTTGGTAGAAACTCCAAACATGTTATTGAATGCCTTCGGGGACTGGCGAGAAGAGATGCTTGTATTTGGGAAGGACCTAACCTCAGCAGCAGTAGCTTCAAGGTCCTCACTGAGGCCTATTCCTTCGTTAACTGAAAGCAATATTTCCGTTTCAGAATTATTGTCAGTAGCAGCAGTAAGTTGAGACTTGACACGCCTCATAAAATCAACTGCTCGGCGAAGAACCGGTTCCAGCAACGGCCCATTGGTCCACGGTGTCACGAAGTTTTCCAAGGCTAACCACTTCTCGTCGCAAGATTCAAAATTAATGAAAACTCTCATCAACTTCTCTTGGGGTTAGTTGATCCTTAGCAATGTACAATTTAGGCTGCTACATACATAGATGTGACAAATGAAGGCGAAAATAGCCTCGTCTATTTCAGACTTCTGCGCTCTCTCAACACGCAACTGAAGAACGGTCAAGATACCTCGAACATGGATGTGGCACTGGAAGGTCTTGTCCATCATAACAGTTCTGAAATAATCCGGAACTACAGTCTTGATGGTTGTCAGCACGCATCCAAGTGTTGCGATTTCGTTATTTATAAGTAGTACCTCAAATAGTGACAACAGAAATAGCGTGACCAAGACCGAATCGTCAGCATTTGAAGTTTGGTTGTCCAATGCGGCATTTAGCTTCATGATGGCTTTGCCATAGTGGGATCTCGCGCGAACCATCAATCCGGACTGTTGAAGCTGTCGTGCTGCGCTTGCAACAGTTACTGCCTGAAGTGCTTCGCAAAGATGAACGGGGGGGTCGCCAGTATGGAACTTTGGCAGAAGGTTGAAGGCAGCGATGCCAGAGTCGACTACATAATCATGGTAGAAACGGTTCCAGCTGTGAACCTCAACGGCAACATGGACTCGTTGTGGTATGCGGACTGCGACGGATTTTGAGCACGTTCTCCTTCCTGCCTTGACCTTCTCTACTCGTGTTTGCACCTTGCCCTCGGCATACTCGTTCTGCATACGGAGGGAAATATCCCAGGCTTCGGGGTAGCCAGGGCATTCCCGACCGAGCAATCCGCAGCGCCGACAGTGTGGGAATTGCATGTCACACTAGCCATTGAACGCGCCAATCCCAGCATCAGCAACCACGTTTCGACAGGGTGGGAGAGTTTCTACCTTGATACGGCGCTCGCGGCACGTGAAGCAACATCTTGACCTCTTGCCAGAGTTGCCCATTCGTCTCGAACACGTCAGCGGGGAGGTATTCTTGGAGTCTGGAACAGAAGGCAATCATTAAATAGCCAGTAGAAAGGTATAAGGCCGGAGAAAGATTGGTTGATTTTCTGCTGAACGGGACGGCTTGAACGTATATCAGCCTAGGTCCTGGCGTGTCGCGTAGAAGCACCGAGTTAAACCTTTTCGGGTAGAAAGTGCGATGGAAGTGATTGATGGGTCCCTTAAGCCTTTTCGGGTCCAAAACGCGAAGTGCCCACACCCGTTTTTAACAATAACAAGGTGGTTAGCGCCAAGCGGTCTTCCCCGTCCAAGCGCCGCGGAAGAGAAACACCAGAGGAACGTAAACCATTTCGGACCGAAACTGCGAATTAAGTCTCTGATGTACCTTGGCTATATCTCTTAATCGAGGATTCGAGAGATAGTGAGAATCGAGGTGTATTGACTTGATTAAGGAAGAAAAGCTTACCTTGAGGCTACGACTAAGGATCTCTCTACCTATGGTTGGAGCCTCCAGGTGGTCGATTCACGTGGCCATGGGGGTAGAATAGGCCTACCCTATACATCCGTCTTTCAATAATACCCTCATGTGAAGCAAGGCGGACTTTCTCATCAGCAACAAACAATAATTCCATGAGAGTCTCTCTATTTAAGACAGCATCGTATCTCGCCGATGGAGTAGAGATCTCGATCTTTGAGAATTTGGTATTACTCTCGGATATCGCCTTGTATTCATTGGCACTTTGGGCCTCATCACAGGCAAGCTCCCTCGACACAAAAGGCGTTTCTCCCATTCTCAAGTGCTGATGTTACCTTAAAGGTTAAAATCATGAGTTGTTGGAAGGCTTTTCCAAAGCGTACGCTGTAGAGTAGATAGGTTAAAAGTGATTGATTGAGTTACTATTCTAGCTACAGAAGTGAACCGGTTATAAAGCCGGTTCTAGAGCGGTCCTGACTAAGCGAAGCGCTCTGCTTCTGGCTTCCAGCCAGTGACTGCTAGTTAGAGGTATTTAGTATACCAACATGAGTATACTTAGTTATGATACACTCGCTTATTACATATATTAAATTAAATAAAATAAATAAATTTTATAAAAGCTATAGGTATACTAATAAGGCGGCCCTGGAGCTCAATATAAGACGATGTGGGATGACTTGGGACGCAGACGGGCGGAGTTCAGACTAAAAGCATTGCCGGATGCAGGACTTATGCGGACTTGGATCTACGATATCTATACAGAGGAAGAAAGAGGTCGGATCGAGGCAATTATACAGCCAGGTTTGTTGCTTGATACTACACTCACCAGTTCGGAAAGTATCCGGCCAGTCTCAAGCAAATGACCTGTGCTGCTAAACACGTAGAGACATAGGCGCGAGGGCCGGTGGTTTGCTGGGTCGCAAACCGAATATTGACATTGGTGAGTTTGACCTCGATATATTGGATGATCAAGGCCACGATTTCTAAATAACAGTACTGGTTTGGAGTCGATGAAACTGGAAGTGTTGAGATGGCAATGCCGGAATCGTCGAGCCAGGTCGATCATGGGGGGCTGTTGACTTTGAAGCAGGTTCCGTATTGGCGATCTCAATTTACCGCTGCGCTGTGCT